GTTGTATAAACTAAATATTAATAGTTTAACTAATTAATAAAACTATTTTAATCAATATTAAAAATTACAGTATGTGTTGTTTACTATATTATTTTATTAGCGATAATGATAAAGTTCATAATTTTTATTATAATTAAAGTTTATTTTTAAATATCTTAAATTTATTGATTTCATAATATAATACATAAATTAATTACTAATTAAACTAATTAAATTTATAAAAATAATATAATAATTTAAATAATATTATGACTAAATATTTWWTTTTTTTKAATTGTTGTTCWTTGGCTCGATTTTATGAAAACTAATTTGTAAATTATATAATGTATACAAAAATATCAAATATTTTAAAGTTATACTTTGTTGGATATATAAACATTATTCAAATGTTTATAAATTACAGTACAGTAGTATATTTTATAAGAAAATRTTTTGTGAACAACAATAAATATTACATTAAATATTGTATTATAATAATATTTAGATAGCATTATTTATAATAAAAATACAAATCATTGTAAATAAATTATATACAWTAGCAATATTAATTATAATAATTTTATATAATTTATAAACAATTTTTACCAAAAATAACATTTATTATATTGAGGAGAGAGAGAGAGAGAGAGAGAGAGAGAGAGAGAGAGAGAGAGAGAGAGAGAGAGAGAGAGAGAGAGAGAGAGAGAGATAGATCAATAGATAGAACAAAAGATAGATAGATAGATAGTAGAAGATATTGTTAATCAATAATAAAGTGTGTGTAGATAGTATAGGTTTTGATGTGTTTGCATAGATAGATAGATAGAGAGAGAGAGAGAAAAATCAATATAAAATTGTGAAATAAGAGTAAAATCAATGCAAACAAAAGATACACTTAAATAACAGTAAAGTTATTGTTAATCAATAACAAAGTGTGTGTCGTTTGGTATGGGTTTTGATGTGTTTGCAGTATTGGCCCAATTAGTGGAAATGCAATCATAGTATAACACAACCACAACAGCAGGTCTGTGGATAGTCAGGTGCGTGAACTCGTCTCTCCTGTCCGTACACTGAATACTGTGCCGATTCACCCTTCCATAGGTAATGGATTGTTGCTATTGATATTAGACGAACCCGATGTCTCTATTGGATGACCATTCAGATGACAATTATAACCATAACATACAAAATATAACAATTGTTTATTAAATGACAAGAAAAGCAAAAAAGAGAGCAAAGAATTTAGTCATTGCATTCAAATAAAGACTTTTTTGGATCAATTACTCAAATAGTTTACTAATGATATACACAATCGTTAAGAGGGATTAAAAGGTTGAGACAGTGAAAGAAAAGTGTGTGTGTGTGTGTGAGTGAGTGAGTGAGTGAGTGAGTGAGTGAGTGAGTGAGTGAGTGAGTGAGTGAGTGAGTGAGAGAGAGAGAGAGAGAGAGAGAGAGAGAGAGATAAGTATAATAAAGGAAATGGAGTATAGGAGAGATGAGCTGATAAATGATGTGAAAGCATAACATACCTGAACTAACAATTTTTCASTCGATAAGTATGTGTCCCAATGCTTTTGAATCAATTGTTGTGAGGACTGGTTTATAGTATTGTCTGGAAAGTGATTGATTGGCCATAACTGTCGAAACACRAGCAGAGATTGCAAATACAAACATTATTTAAATCATTAATTAGTTTTGTTTTGCAAAACAACATAATATTTGCATTTGTGAGACAATGTTTTTCAGAAAATAATTGCATTTTATATCTTTTATCAGTTTATATTTGAGTAACTCTTAACTCTTTAACATTTTCAATAAACACAAAACACTGAACACTGAGTGTTTGTATTCATATTTCACTATTTATATCACTATATGATTAATCACTTTTTATACTAAAATATATTTATAGCTGYAAATGAAATTTACGTGAGTTTAAGCTAAATGAGCCYTATTTTTAATATTAAACAAACTTAAATCAGTTCTAAAACTGTATAAATAGTTATATCAAATGAGATATTAACTGAATATTGAGAAACAATCTTTCCCTTTGCCTATCATTAAAGTACAATACATACCCTATGCTGTTCCTCTTCAAACACGACTTCCCCGGTAACTGATTTGAGTTGTTGGTCGGGCACAGCATTCAATGCGTTATCCAACACATAATCGTCACAATGGTTTGACCTAATAATACAATAACAAATATGATATCATGAATTCATTTCATATTATAAGTGCTTTTTATAATAATAATTTTTAATCATTAATTGTATAAAACGATTAATGCCTTATAAATTTATTTATATACTATTTTTTACATTTTTTTAATTTTGTCAAATGATTGCTCTCATGAGGACGTGATATGAATGATATGTTTTTTYCCTAACAATGCCCACAATATCCACAACATTGATCCCAATGAGTCATTTAACAATCATTTAAAATTACAATTATGTCATTTTTATTGTTAAGTTATATACAACCCGTAAATTTTATACATTAGCACAACATCGATAATATTAAATTTCATAAAATAATGTTTTTTTCATGAACTGTTAAAAAGGTGTATATTTTATTTCCCAATCCTATTTTTGCATATTTTATATAGAGATTTACTGGTAAATAGTGTATTATACTGTACTGTATATAAATTATTAGTTAGTAATACTATAAAACTCATAAAAAATGCTAATGAAGTGAAAGTTGCTTTCAATTCATTATATATTTTCATTTCATATGTTATTTAATGAGAATTGTTTGTGCTTTCATTAACACACAAATGAGTTGTATATCAATAGTAATTGTACATTATTTTTGCAAATGTGCCGTTATTTTAATTCAATGCTTTCTAAATATTATGTAATCAACTTTCTCTAATACCAAATATTTAGTCTATTTATATTACACATAGAATAGGATAATGGATTCATTGAAAGTCATTATATTTAACGATTGTTACAATAAAAGTCCGGCAATTGTTTTATAAATTTTATATGTTTTGTCAAATTATATGACAGTATATAGTCTCTGAAATGTCAATTTTTAATGAAACATAAAATTAATTCACTTTGTTTTATGATGTGCTGTAAATATGCTTTAAATATTGCATTGATTATAATAATAAACTTAAACATTTGTAATTACCAGGTAATTATGACCCTTATATAGCATTTCAATTGTCCGGTGCCGGCACACGACTGACATTGGGTCCGGCCTTCACCGCTACACTTCCAGCATCTCAACCGACCCGAACCCATACACTTCCAACACCGTTCCCTTTCACCACCATTACTAAAACTGGGTTTATGTCCGTCTCCATGACATGAAAAACATGTTTCCTATTAAATTGTATTTGTTTTTTTAATTTTTATAAATAAATTGTTTAAATATCCTAAAAGTTTAAACTATTAAATTACATATCCTTTGCCATCACAAGAAAGACATCGTTTTCTTCCCCCACCACCGCATATGTGGCACATCTTAATTGTTGCTGTATTTGGTACCTCCATCTGTGAGACCTGATTCTGGAAAAGAGCTGTTGGATTGCTTTTTATATCCCAAATGTTCATAGGATTAACAATTGTATGACTATCTACTGGACCGCCTAAATATGGTTCGTAAGCCCAACTAATTTGTCTTTTTTCGCTAAATGTYTCTAAAGTATACTAAAAAAGATTCAAATATTTTAAATATTAATTAGATAAACATATTGTAAATTACAAAATATACAAATACAWGATTATAAATTGCGTGCAAAATATGAGGAAAATGAGTATATTTTTGTTGAATATTTTTTWAAACTTAAATCAATTCTTTTAGGAAATAAGATCTTAAGATTTTGGCAAAAGATAATAAAATCAGTGCCAAAACTCATGAATAAAGATATAAACAGTGATATAGAGAAAAGCCATGAATGGCACACATGTTTGTAKAGTTTTTTAATATGAAATAATTTCACACTTGAAATAACAATTAGTTAATACAATTATTTTTGTTGAATATTAGCTCCAAAAGTCATTGTATTCATATTATTCTTTGATTGATTTATACTATAATATTACTGTAAATTACTTTATATTTTAATTACTATTATATAATCATTAATAAAGAATTCCAGATGTTATACATATTAATCTATTGAATGGGAATTACTGTCAAAATCATTAATGGATTTTCATGRTCTACATTGAAATATCGTATTTGAATTACTTTTTTGTTTATTTATTTAAATAGTAAAATATGTATGTGTTTATTATGTCATATATGTTTTGCATATACCGTACTGTACAACATGATTATATGTTATTTAGGAAATGATGCAATAAATTGTTTAAATTTAATTACTGTTATTTTACTGTTTGAAACTTATAAACAAAACAAAAATTAAATGACATTTATTTATAACAATASCAGTAATGGTAAGAAAAACATAGAAAATAAGATTTTTATGRCTTATTTCTTTAATATCTTAAACATTGAATTATTGTATTCCCTTAACAATTGTAAGCCATTATATATGTTTTTCATAATATTTGTTAGTTTTATATAATATGATATCATTTGGAAATTATAACTATAATTAGATGCTTATGGGTTTAGATGGGGAACATTAGCTTACATGGAAAGCACTCATGTGCTCTATTTTGATGATTGACATATCATTAGCGACTCCTTTACCATAACAGCACTTATTGGTTATATACTTAAGTAACGCCTGTCGGGCCTCGGATTCGGTGATTTCTGTTGTACTGAAATGATATAAGTATTCAAAATAAATGAATCAAAATATATTCACTATTAATTAAATCAAAACATAAAACATTGTGCATAAATCATCACATTTTAGTCCAATATTGGCAGATAAAGTGTATAATATTATACAGAATATTGTTTGATATTTGTTTAATTGTTTAAGCAATTTGTTTGAGACAAAACTTGTTTTAAATATAATTATTGTAATTGTATATTTTATAATAGTAGGCTAGCAATGTGTAATTAATTARAAAAGTCGTATAATATTTGTTATGTCATTAAATGAAATATTTTATTTGTTATTATTTTTAAATAATTTTTCYTTTATATCATTTAATCTCATTTCTGGATCAAAGACTTGAATTGCTGTCAAAAAWCTTTTCTTTTTGTTGAAGACAACAACAAATAAACTGTTTTTCGCTATTACCAACTGTTTTGCTATAATTTTCAAGTTTTCAAACTTTAATTTTATTATTTATCTCAGATTTCTATATTTTATTTGTTTATTCTTGTTGTAAAGTCATTATTACATTTATTTATATTTATTTCATAAATTATCAACAATAAAGTGTTATAAAAGTATATAAGTATCATAATTTTTCACAGCATACAATATATCAGAATAAGTTAAATTTAAATTAAATAATACTTTAATATTRTTACATGTAGTAATATTTATTTAACAATTATATATATACTAAATATCAATTAATTATTGTYTATCACTATGAATTAATTAGTTTTAATTATTATTTTAAGRAAAATWAATAGTAATAAAATTAACAGTTATTTAACATATACAAAATTTAGAATAAAACTTATCTTTTTTGTTTGTTTTAATATAATTTACAATTAGTTATAATTTGTAATTTCTGTTTATATTTAAAATGCGGTCACTTTATAATTTTAAATACTGAAAATAGATTGTGAATTAGTAAAAAAATATGATATATTTAGATCACTACAACGCTATAAATTATACTCATTATATAATTTACTATTTACATTCATTAGCTTTAAATTGTGTTATTTTTATGTTAACCATATTTTGTACAAATATATTACTGTACTTTTAAAATCATAATTTTACTTTGAATGTATTTTTAAAATACAAATATATTTTTTTTAAACATAAATTAAATCCTTTATTATAATTTAAAAATGATGTATCAGCAATTTTTGTTGTAAAATTGTCATTTATCTACTAACTAATAAGTTATAAGTAATCAAATTTTAAAAATATGTATATAAATAATGAATGGATTTTGATTATTCAGTCTAAAAAATATTATTAAATTTTTAATCAAAGATCATTAACACAGAAAATAATTATTATTACTAATTGTTAATTTTTGAAGTTTACTACAACTAAATCTTATTGAATTTCTTATCAATTAAAGTGTCTAATCGTTTTGTATGAATTAAACTAAAAATAATGCATTCATTCATTAATTAACATTTTCTAAATGGTTAATCTTATTTAATTATTTATTTAATTAAAATATAGATGACTACACATAAACTATTACAGTAATMTAAAATTTCAATATTAGCCATTAACTTCTATTAATTCTTAAATAAGTAATAGTTTTATTACTATTATTGTAAATATTATTAATTTTAAATAMCACCTAAAATAACATACAAATCGAGTGATTGATTGATACTATAAACAGTCTATAAATGCCAATACATATAACACATCTGTTAGTACATACCTGGGCAACGACCGGGTGCTCATCTCCTCCTCATCGAGTGGTGGTGGCGGTGGTGATGGTGGCGGTGGGATGTCAACTATATACAAAAATGTCAAAATAAAAACATTTGAATATCATAAAATTTATATTTACTATAAATTTAGTTTATAAAAAATTTATTAAAAAATCCACACCTAATGTATCAAACTGTATGTCATCTATCGTTGTATACAATTTACTACACATTTGAAACTTTTTAAAAGATAACCGATTATTGTAATTACGAATACGACTATATTTATTAATACAACTATTATTAAAGTCACAAAAAAATAATTTTAGTTTAGCTTCGTTTCTRTCAAAAACTCTCATCAAATGTCAAATTATTTTACACGATATTAAACATTAAATAAAAATAACACAATTATTAATTTATTAGACACTTTGACAATCTATTATTAATATTTAATATAGATCTCAATCATTATAAATATATTTATATGAAAATATTCACTTAAGTTTTACAAATTGAAGTTTACAAATACAATTAATAACTGATAAAAACAGTATAAATTCATTAAATAATCGATAAAAATATATATTTTAAACTCATTGAGTTATAACAATTTATTTATTTAACTATTAGTTATAATATATAAAATTTTAAAAATTGTCCCAATTTTTAAGTGCGTTAAAAATATATTTGTTAAAATAATGAAATGACTTTTAATTTTACTGACTATTAGGTTTAATCTACAATAAAAGTTAAGATTTTCTACTTTACTATTAAATGAATATAATTTAATGTAGATTTTTATTTAAATAAACAAATTTTAAAATATTTTTGAATTAATAGCAATTATTGTTCACAAAATGAAATCAATATAAACTATAGTTTCATTGAACGGAAAAAGTAATTGACACGAAATGTATATTCAAGTGATGGGACAACAAAAATATAGTCAAAACCTATTGATTGCAATAACAGATAAACAGATGTGAAATGAGTTGAAACTTAAAGACGCGTGAAATTAGCTGTTCATCACTACATCTCAAATCCAATACAAACATATCAAACATATAGAGAGAGATTTTAGAGAAAGRGAGAGACACTATATTATAATAAAGTGAATGTAATTTTGATAAAACATTTTTAAGCCAAAAATTGCATTCATATGCATATTAAACACTGTTTACATATATGTTTAAATCTATTCAACATTAGAATTAAATGCTTATATCTATAATATGTAAGTCAAAGAACCAAATGCATAGACAGACATAGTCTCCCATTGCTGTGATTTAAGCCAACAATATTATGTTATGTTATGTTATGTTATTTTAGGTAATATCTTACAATCAGACCCGTTAAAAGAGGTCCGATGCAATTATCTGKCCAATCATAAGAGTAAATAAAAAATAATTAATTATAAATATATTCAGTCTAAAATTGTCTATAACTTWGCCATTATTTGTCATTTTTATATTAAAAATATGGTTTAATAGATATTAACAAGAAWTTATGAGTCGGGAGTCTAATGCGGGTCTGATTTTAAGATAGAGCCGTTATGTTATGCTATGGTTGTACTTAATATTGAAAAGAAAAGACATAGGATTTAAGTTATGTGCACAACATGTGAATGTGTGAACTGAGAAATAACTGGTGTTATAAAAATAGAAATCACTTCAAAAATTATGGGTCATATTATTCATAAGATTTRAGTYTTTAAAAACAGTGAATTAATTTTTAAATATTATATTATATTTATGAAAACGCAGATTTTTAGTTCAAATGTCGCTATAAAATAATCATCAAAATAGTTATTATTTATATAATTGTATAATTGTATAATTCWCATCATTTTATTACAAATTTTTTTCAATTCATTTTAATAAAATAATATAAATATCAGACATAATTATTTCTAAAATCATTTGTTTTAATCAAAATCATTTACAAKAAAATTAAAATTTTTAAGTAAATTAAAGTTAAATAACAAAAATAAATCGTAACATATTTTTTTTTAAAAATAAACATTTGTTTGAAGAAATTCAGTAAAATAAACWATCGTTTGATAAAATTAATTACTAAAACATGTCTTTCAAATAGAGAATAGGTTTTGAAAACCATTGTAACCAATTTAATTGACTTTCTTCACAATTTATTTGAGTTTCAATTTTTTTTAATTCATCGATTGATTGTTTCAATTTATTTGTGTAACCAATCCAAATGCCATTATTGATGGCCAATATAACCAAAGCATATAACCAGAACCTYCCGGGTTTGACCAACATATGTCTCGGTGTCGATTGACGCCAACTCTCAGTTTTAAGGAGCTATAGTACAGTTAGATTTCAATTTAGTTTWTTTAGTTTTAAATTAAWTATACAAACAATAAATAATGATATTCTAGTAATATATTGMAATACTTGATATGATTTGTTTATAGTTGCCATTGAACTGTTAAGTGTTTGATTTACTGAATCTAATTTTTAAATAATTATATCATTTTATAACAATAGTATAGTACAGTATATGACAGTGTATATGATATACTGTATTACCCAACTCGTCATGAATTAGGTTTAATTGTGTCGACATATCATTCAATTGATTATGAATTTGATTGATACCATCTTCTGTTTGGATAAATGTACCAAAAGATGGATTTTAATTRATATTATTTGACTAACAATAAAATTACCGATTCTTTGATTACATCGATACACGCTATGTGTTAGACTATCTGTTGATATAAATCAATCAATATATATATATATACAGTATATATCATATCAAGTGATCATTAAAATCAATACCCAAATCARTTTGGTTACGMTTCATATGTTTGTGTAAATCATTTAATTGTTGCAAAACTATGTCYTTATCTTTAGTGGACATCATCACCACTTGAGACTTACAATCTCCCTATTTATGTGTCAAATATAATGATTGACAATACACTTGAAGAATATTYTGTATCAGACCTTACAATTGATGTCTTCATTACAAACGATAGACTTGTATTTTGCGCCAACAAATTGTGAMATTTTATCAGTTATTTGTKTCCACCAATACATCATAAAAAAGATTGTCTTACAAAACAACCAATTGTTTGTCACCACTAATTGGTATTAATTCAAACATAATATACTGCCAATTAGTTTAATGACARCACAATRTGTGTGTAAACTGTAATTTTGTAAAATACAATATRTTTTGTTTGTAAATATACAAAACAATGTACCGGTTTATTACAGTTAGGGTTCGGACAAATTCCCTCCGTTGTTTTTATTTACTAAAATTTCCCTATTTTCCCTTCTCCCTGGGAATTCCCTGGGCATCTATTTCCTTGTGCTACCACCTATTGAAACATAGACAACAAATTTTGTTATAAGATTTGAATAATATGTTGTTTTTATTTAATTAAATAGTATGACTAAATTCACTGAATTCAAATTTATTTTTAAATAAATATTAAATTTATTTTATAAATATAATATATATTTCTTTCTAATAGGAAGGGAAAATAAAATATTTTCCGGGAAAAAACATTTATTATTAGTAATAGTCAGATTTTATTCAAATATTAAAATTACACTAATTATGTCGTAATTAAATACAAACATTTATTAKTAGTAGTAGTATTTRACTAAAWAACTTTAGATAAATTTATAGCTAAATAAATGACCTTGATAATTTAAATAATTATTTATTTTCATATAATTAGAAAACTTAATATTCCGGTTTAACTCTCATGTTTTAAATAATTWAATTAAATCAATAATGGTTTTTAAAATGATTTTATATTACCGRTACGATTATTATTAAAAAGTATGATATTGTGTGTAAATAATACAAATTAATAGTATATCATTGACGCTATTTTTATGATAAATTTATTATATCTAATAAAYAAAARTCTAAATAATATTTTTTTGAACACTAATTGTCTAAAATTATAAATTAAATTATCTACAAATTAATTGTTAAATTGAATCATAATTATAGTGAAATCTTTCCCTATAAACCCATTCCATGTCCTTAGAATTGGCTCGAAGTCTTCGACCTACTGGTTCTAAATCATAATAGCATCGGTCAAAGACCCGATCGACAATAKCCCAGGCCTGKTCAGTGGTCACATCCTTACGGGTGGCTATTATTGAGGCCACGGCTTTTGTTTTTACACAATTCTACAACAAATMATTTATTACCGRTWATRTGTTTYAATATATTTAAAATAATGTCATACGGCGTGACTTTTAGCTATATCCCAGGGTCTGGTCGTTCCCAAAAGGAAAGAGCTGATCATTGAACAGTGAAACAAATTGGCTGCTCTAATCTTAAAAACAAATATAAAACTATAAGTAATATAATTAGTGGCACAGGTAGGTAAATAMCGGTACCTCAGAGCAGGCAATGTGTTCGAGATTATTAAAGTCAAACTTAGCTCTACAGTAGTCAAACATATGAAGAAACTCATGCGATAGGACTCCTTGAATGATACCCTTATGAATGACACGATTCTGACAGATGACCACTTGATTCAAATGTGGGTCATAACCACCTGACCGGTCAAATGAAAAACAAATAAATTAGTCGTAACTCAAACTGCTTTCTAATTCATTTACCGGTGACATCAGCTGAACAACACTCGCATGATATGTGACGCCGAAGATCGACTTCACTGACAAAACAAAAAATTAAAGATCAGTTTTAAAGCAAATATTTCTGTAATCAATGTTTACCATCCGTGAGATTTAAGTGCACTCATCATCAGCTTAACTAACGGACCTTCAATGGATAATCGCACCATCAAATTGGTCACAACAAAGACACAAAATATAAGTACCGGTAAATCAATAATTAATTAGTTCATCATTTAAACAGCAATCGATGGTCAAAGACTCACTCTTTTCAATCACTTGAAAGACTTTTGTTTCGCATTTAATTTTTTGAAAATCCTTTCTATCTGTGACTGAATCCCACCAACTCTTGTCTAYTTTACTGCCTCTTCGTTCGGGATATACTTTAAGTTCTTCTTCTGTAAGTCTGCTATCATTGTCATCACTATTGTTGACATAACTTTTTCGGTCACTTTTGGCCTCTTTCTTGATGTGTGTAGTGTTGTCATCATTGGACACATTGTTTGTTTGATTGTCTGTATTATCACTCATATCTATGCCTTTATATGTCATAAACCAATCACTTGATAGAAATACATGTAAATCAATGTTTTGATTGAATCATTCAAACAATTAGTTGTTATTATGTTTTGCAATGTTTTGGTCAAAACAATCAAAACATTTCAATTTGAATGACATGTGTTGTGTTTGCAACACATTATCCATAATAGAGGTCTCACTAGTCGTTTAGGTTTATGAGGAAAAACTTTTATTTTTCGATACAAATTGATTACTGTATTAGCTTTAAGTTTAATTGATATTATTATAAATTAATATTAAAATATTTTATTTTTCTTGTTGTTATTGTTATTGCTATTTATTATTTTATTAATATAAGATTTTGTTTGTTTAACTATAATTATAAAATTTATAAAATGAGAATTTAATAATATCAGAGTAAAATAATGTATTAGTTRTMATTTATTAYATTCAACTATTTAATCTATAATATTAATAAAAGCAAATTACTGTACAATCTTAATTTATACTAAACTAATGATAAAATACATATATAATTTATTTGTGATATTTTATTTACAAATTGTTTAATAAGCATTTTTCATAATAAAACTTAATTTTGTTATATTAGCAATTCACTGATTTTATACAGTTTGAACAYTATTTAAAAATGCAATAAATTTCAAATGAGATAAAAGACTATTCAAATACAAGAATCCAATTATTATCTTATCATTAATGGTCTCCTATGGCACTGACTTCTGATAAGATCACAATAAACTACTAATACTAATGCTTTTATTAATATTTATTGAATTATTTTTAACATATGAATAAAAAAATGAAATACTATTAACAAACATATGTCTATTAAATAAATTACTGATGAATTATAGTTATGTTTAAATGTTAAAACACTTGTTTCCAATAAATTAACTATAATTTCAAATGTTTTCTAAATAAATTATACTATTAATATATTAAACATTTTTGATTTTAAGTATTATTAAAATGACAAAAAAGTTTCAATTGTTTTATTTTATATCACTTATTATAACCATTTATTGTAATGACTGTCCATTTAAATCATTAATTGAAGAGTATGGCTGTCAGTGTGGGTTTGATGTAWCTGACCGATGGATCAGTTGTATCGGAGATCAGTTTGATAGTGCCATTGATTTATTGAGCACTCATTTGATTGACAACGACAAACATTTTGATGAGTTATATATCAGAAGTGATACATTGACCACAATTGACAAGAATTTTCTCAATAATATTACATTTAAAACAATMACTTTTGATAAGTGTTTACAACTAAAGACAATACATAAGAATGCATTTACTGGTGTCGACAATCATATACTAAGATTTAATATCATTGGTATCAATAAATTGAACGATTATAGCAATGTATTTGAAATTATTTCAAGTATGAAAAATTTGCAACGACTTGTCTTAAGTGGATCACAATTGTCAACAATTCCCAGTTATGCCTTCGATGGACAACAAAATCATTTAACAAGAATTTCGTTTGATTTAGTGTGCAGTCAATCACCTATTAAGTCAATTCAGAGAAGAGCTTTCTATGGCTTAACTAATTTAATTCATTTAGGTTTGTATATTATATTAATGTTAATTATATAAAAAATATATTATTAACTAATTTTTAAATAATATATATATTTAGATCTTAGTTGTTTGCAATTGGAGTCAATCGATTCAAATGCATTTGAATTTAAAGAGACGACAAACAAAAACAAGTTATTTATTGATTTATCAAATAATCAATTGTCTGATAAAAGTTTCGGCAAAGACTTTAAAATATCGATAAACAGAAGCGTCGATTTAAACATCAATTATAATCCGTTGAAATTTTTTAATCAAAGTATTTTTGGTGATTTTCTAGACACTAATGATGACAATAGTCTTCAATTGTGGCAAAATAATGTAAATACAGTAATTGATTGTAAATCGTGTCAAACACTTTGGTTGAAATTATATTCACAGCAAATTAGTGATGCCTTCTGTAGTGATGGCTATCTATTATCAACCAAACAATTTTCAACTGATAATTGCCCACAAGTCTTAAGAACAGTTAATTGTATACAAAAATCATAATCAAAAGCTATTAATTTAATTATATTATAATGATCTCAAAATCAAACTGTTATTAATACTTAATATTGTATTGATTTAAATAATGCACTTATAATACAATTRTGGATAAAATGTGGTAATAATAATTTATACAATAAGTTTAMTATTTTATAAAAATATAAACCGGTAAAATTCTTTTAGTAAATAGAGATTCAATTTTAATTATCATTTAATAAACTTTTCATTGACGTAATTAAAAAAGACACGTAAAATAGTTTAGTTTTAAATAAAACATTTATTTTAGGTTTACAACAGTTTTTATAATTGATTTTCTCTTATACAGTATAATAAGTTAAAAATAAAGTTAAAGTTAATAAATCAAATAAATATATGACAACAAATGAAATAAAATATCATAAATTAGTATAAATTGCATAAATATAAATATATTCTCTAAATTCTTTTATACCAAACTCGATATTTAATTAATGTTTAATAAAGTGTATTAAATAATAAATCAATAAATCGTTAATCTAGAGTATTATAAAGACTCTATACAATTATAAAGCCAATGAAATATATACAGTATATATTGTATAATTTTGTAGGCTGTTTTATACAATAAAATTTGTATAGAGTACTGTATTATCAACTAAACTTTGTAATATACTATAGTTATAATGTATCATCAATTATATATTGTATAAGTACTATATGTGTAATGTTAAAACATTTTGTAAGTTATCATTACATAAAAGAAAAGAGTGAATGACTGAAACTAATGTCTGTGTGGTATATATTTTGCATCAATCAATAGCACATTCCTTATAATATTAAATAAATTTCAGATCAATAATGACAACAATAATAGTGTCATATATTTCACAATCCTATCTATCATTTAATCGTTTGACTCTTTTTCTTATGTTTGAATCAAATATACAATAAAATAAAACAAATATAAAAAATCAATAAATTTTTGTTACAAGAGATAAGAGTTCACAATCATATACTGTACTATATATATACAGTATATATATATAGATATAATTCGGTTTAACATAAATCTAAYAAAATAATTATTTAATAATTTATATAATAGGAAATTGATTTTTACTATAATATATAATAAACTTTTATGCATTTTATACTGTATATATATATAGTATTTTATACTGTAGTAAATTTTGTTATTTATAGTAGATATTATCTATAATTAAAATACAATTATTACAATTGTTAACATAACTTTGTTAACATAACTTTGTTAACATAACTTTGTTAACATAACTTTCATTAGTTAAGACACTTCACAAACGAGATTTGAGTTACAATTTATAATTATAAATAATATTTTTACAACAAATTTTAAATTTAATATATATTAAAACGTGTAAAAATATCACATACCGATAAAATTATAAATAATTGTCAAATAATATAAAAATCAAAAGTTGTTAATTATGGTAATCTTTTTTTTAAAAAACTTAATTTGATCGTAATTTTGAGATTTTTAAAGAATATAATAATTAAAATTTAAAATCAAAATATAAATTAGTATTTTTAAAATTGTCTTAATTACAGTAAACTGTACCGTAATTCAATTATATAACGATAAATTTAAATTATTTTAAAATAAACTAGAAATAAATAAAATAATTACAATAATAACTAGTAATAAAAATTATTAATTGTTAATTAAATTGGTTTTTGAACCGAAAGTATGTCTATGTGAGTGTCGGGTGCGGGCAATGATGGCCTCCAAGAGAACCATTTTCTTGTATTCGTGAACAAACAGATCGGGTACTTCAATATTCATGTGCTCTAAGTATACCATTTTCACCGAATTTTTGCCGAACAGTCGCCACTCATAATCAATCAATTGTCTAAAAAATGAACCGTTCGGTCGTACGATTGGCCTCTTCTTGTGCAACATATTGTAAGCGTCTTTCAGATTCATTCTCAGATATTTCATGAGATACGCTGTAAATAATAGTTAAGACATCAACAAATAAAAAACAATCACAAAATCAGATCCAATATCAGTATTGAGTTTTGATTTATAAATACCTAATACAAAAGCGGCTGATCTACTGATTCCTGCCATACAATCTGATTATTTTCAAATAATTACTAAATAATAATATCCAACAAATGATATCAAATTTATAGTCAAACTCACGGATCAAAACTCGTCCGCCACTGTTGGACACGTCGTATATAAAATCGGAGACGTCGTCAAAAAATCGGGAAATATTTTCATCAATCTTATCGTTGACCTAAAAACAAACCATTAATCCAATTATAATCGATAACACGTTTATGTCAGTGACAATCATACAGCAATTCTGATGGTTTTAATGCCATTCAGATGAATGATCGGTACTTCAATCGTAGCGTTAATAATGTGAGTAATTTTGTATTTATTAATATTTGCATAAGTGATACAACGCGCCGATGATATATACAGAAAGTCCATCACTCGGGACATCTGTGACACACGAGATGATGACGACGACGACGACGATGAAGGAGATGAAGTCGACGACGAAGAAGACGACAAATGTTTCGATGAGACAATCGATGGCAATCCCGACGACGACGACGACGACTGCGATGAATGTGATTGCGATCCACACAACAAATGGGTGGCCGAACAGTCACTCGCCGCTGATGAAGGCCAACAGTTCATCGGGAATGACCACAAGTGAACTGATACTGACTAATAACCAATTGACCAGATGTTTGATACAATTTAAGCATACATTGAATGGACAGTTGTGTCTATAGTTGTGTCTATAGTTGTGTTGACTTCAGTCATGTCTTTCATCTCTTTTCGGTACAATCACTGACTGACGACATGTTTCTATGGTTACCACACTTTTCGTCATTCAAAGCCTTTAACCATTGAATTGAGTCAACGATTACTAAACACTTAACTAATAAATATGTGAACAGAATATTCTGTAATTCCGTTTGTATTATAGTTTTCAATGATTGAGAGTTTGAACTCAACATTAATGGACTAAACACTTGTTTCTACTATTATGACGATTATTGTGTGCTTTTAATTAAAGCTTTAAATAAATGATTGCAAACATTGATTACGTCAAGTCATTCATAATATCAAAAAATATATTTTTATGACATAACATGACATTAAAATTACTAAAATATACAATTCATAAAAATAATAGATTTTTATTGATTTATTAAATAATACTTTTTTATGGTATTATAGAAACAGAAAAACTAATTAACACATATTAAAATTATGTTAACATATGTTAAAATTAATTTTTGAATTATTAATATAAAAATGTAAAAATATACAGTATTTTATAATAATTTCATTTATTATGATGTAATAGTTATTTAATAGATAATAATTACTAATATATAGATACTTTACTGTATTTTATAAATATTTAATTAGTTTTTGAATTGTATTACAATTTTGTATGTTTACGAGTAATACACATACATATAGACAATAAACTAATTGTCATAAACATCAATATAAGGGCTATAATGCCAACACAAATAGGTAGCAAATCCAATGGTTTATAATATTTACAACGAGAAGCTAAATTTAAAAGTAAAAAATAACTATAAAATTATATATTAATAATATAATTTGAATGCGAGAATAAATATAAATACAAACGTAGTCCAAATTGTCCATTATTTATATTAAATGCCTGTATTTTAATACTAGACATATGCAACATAACCCTATGATTATCACTTTCGTTGTCATAAAGATTAAGTGTAAGTAATGGACATTCAAATGATTTACCCAATGATGTGCTAAATGTTTCTAATTTATTATTATGAGCTAATTTGTCGTTTCCTTTAATTTAAATTAAATTATTGTATTATTATTATTGATATTTATTGTAGAGATTTAATTTTACAAACCATTATAGGAGTCTTTAAATATCACATCTTTAGTGTTATAAAAAAGTTGCAATAATTTTATTTGCCATTTGAATTTATCTGTCTTTAGTTAATAATAGTTAATTATTTTATAACATGTTTTATAAATTATTTATTCAATAGTTACAATCTTTTTAAACGTAAATTTCAATGTAAAGTTATAATTCCACTTTAAAGCCAATACTTCATCATTATAATATTTTTGAAATAAATGAATAATTTAAATATAATATCAATATAACAAAACTAGTATACAGTAAATACCTGAATATTTATCATTAGATTTTTTGCATTGACCACTAACTAATGGCTCAATTGGAATTGTTATATTTAATTTCTATTATTATAATAAAAACTATAATTAATAAAAATAAAAATAATTATTTTTTTAAACCTTTGTATTGCCGTTAATGGTGTCATATATAATAGTAAGAGATGCACTGAATCTGGCCATAATACATATAGTACCAGTGTCAGTCCATATAGTGTATGTTAAAGGAGGTGCCGCCTCTTTACTAGCAATTACTGACGTAGAGTTCTCTGTATTTATCACAAAATTATGACATTTCACTTCATTGGAAACTAATGACAAAATATAATAATAAATCTATTGATTATATTATTTATAAGAAAATACACGAATATTACTTAATATTAAAATATTGATAACATATACTATCTTTCCAATATATAAACTCATTTTATAAGCATTACATTTAATATTTTACTATTAAATCATTGAATTAATTATTTTTTAAATAATTAGAATACTGTATTAGTTGCTAATTTAATTGTTTAACTAAGTTTATTTTATCAGTTTTATTTACACATTTGTTAATTTAAATAACACTAACCTTGAATAAAATAACTAAAGTTAACTAAAATTATGAGTTATTTATCAATATATTTATAATAATAATTTAAAAAAATATTTAAATTTAAAATATTTTATTTYCACAATCTTAATTTAAACCATACATTTATTGAACAATAATAAGTTAAAACAATGTTTATWATAGTAATATTTCAAACATAATTCGTGATTTTTATTCTCCTACACTTTATTATACATATGAATAAATAAATAATTATTTTGAAAAACATTGTGTAATAACATTAAAGTATAACATTAGGCAAATATTTAAATCATTTAAAAAAGTGCCACTRAAACTAATTATCAGTGTCACTGTTGGTGAGAAATTATCAAATTTTGTGGTACAGACTCATTGCTGTTGTTATCATTTATATCTGTATCGATAAAATTGATGTTATTATTGATGTTATCGCTCTTATATCGACTTAAATCTAGACAATGTTCATCGATATTGTCTAAAATTATTGTTGAATTTGTGCCAATTCTGGCTTTCTTTTCAACCAATTTTGAAATAACTGATTCCACTTTATTGACTGAAGTTGTGACAGTTGTCGCAATTGTATTATTTGTACTGTCAATTGGTTTATGCAATGTATTTGTCTGTGCATTACTTGAATTAATATTTGAATTATTATCGGACTCTTTAAAATTATTATTAGATGACTTATCCACCGGAAATAACAAAGGTATCGGTATTGGCAGTGGTATAGGTATTGGTACTGTAATGATAAATATAAACCAAATATGATATATAATTAATAATAGCATCTAAAAGTACCTGGATATGGAACCATTATAGTGACGGGTGGAAGCAATGATGAATGTGAATACATTTGTGATACTGGATGAGGAACTGATGGTTGTATTAGTGGAGAACTGTTTGTCGGAGGAAATCCATTAATGGGTGGTAAACCAGCAAATGCTTGGGGAACGGGTGGATGTGGTATCATAAATGGTGGAAATGGTGGTCGCAGTCCTGGAAAATTGGATTGCATTCTTAAAAACATATCCAGTTGTGTCGGTCCTAATAGATTTGGTAATGTTGGAGGAGCTCTTGGTGTAAATGTTGGTGAAGGCATAATTGGAGCCCGGATTGTATGCTCAGCCCTACCAATATTACTGGGAAATCTCGGATAAAGTTGACTCGTCGGAGAGCCATTAGGTATCACCACAGGACTGTGTGGAACTGGATTATTGGCGTTATTGTATAAAATAGGAATGTTATTATTTGATGCAACCATTGATGATCTTATTGTTGATGACGATGAAGGAACCGGTGAATGTCTATGGGCTCTAAAGTTAGGCGAATGTAAACTCGATATCTTGTCTTTTGGTTCACAAGATAACCAATCAGTTGTCGGACTAATTAACTCAGAACTCGAATGTTTAGTATTTAAATTCTTAGCACCGGTTGATGTAATGATACGACTATTTTTTGATGACTTGTTGTGCGAATACTTAACACGTTTTGAATCTTTGTATTGCTTTTCTTTATTTCTTAAATCATCTTTTAGTTTGTCATTTGGTTTATATTCACTGTCTTTAGAAAACTCTGAAAATTTTCTTTTAACAGATTCATCGTTAGGTGTCTGCGATTCTTCAAACTCCAGATCCAACTCAGAGTCAGAACTATCCATAAAAGAAACGCCAGAGTTGTTGCCATTTTCTACATTTTTGCTATCTTTTAACCATAGTTCRGGTGTTATTAAATTTGATGACTGTTTGGATGATATTGGGACTAATTTTTCCACTTCTTTAAGCATACCAGAGCTCAGTTGTGTGAGATGTGCTTTGGCTTCGTTGCAGAAAATATTCATTTTGTATTGATTTAAGCACTTATTGCTGCAAAACTGTAACTGTTGTTCACCGTCTTGAAAGTCCACATAATTAACAGTATGTCTACAATTATTTAAATTAATTTTATTTTCAAATAATAAGTATACTTATGAATCATACCTGACATGTTTGCACCAATCACATATCTTATTTTTCTATATTAAAAATTAAAAAACAATTTTTTATAATTATCACTTATTGATGCTAACAATAAAGAGGACATACCTTAAATGAAGCTCTTCTACATTGAGTAAAACATAATTCACTATTTATAAAAAAAATTCAATAAATTATAATTATCGTACTATAATATTATTAAAAATAAAATTAATAGAAAATACCTGCAAAAAGCTTTAGAACCGGTACTGCTTTTTAATGTAAATAATTTCATACCAACTTTTGCACACCAGGCGCATACTATATAACCGGGAGGTATGTTTTGGTTGTCTACAAAATCAACAAAAAATGCACGTTTTCATTAAAAAAATAATCAATAATTAACTATAGATATATTTGTTATTAGATATATATATATATATAAATCTATAAATATATATATATATATATATATATATTATTCTGCATTCTAGACAATGAGATGCTTACAATCGCTAATAATGTTATTATTTATATTATTATTATTACAAATAGATATTAATTCCATAGTTTACTGAACATTTCAATATAGTGACGGTATGTGTGTTCACTGTGTTTGCATTAAACAAATAAAACTTAAAAATATTAAGTCTTATTGAAAACAAAACTGAAGTATCATAAAAAACAATTATTGTTATTATGATTATTATTGCACTTTCACTAAATTTTTGTTAAATACATTGTGAAAAATTGAATTAACAGTAAAATGTGATTTCGAAATAGAGAGTCAATAGTAATTGACTTTAAGATAGGATAGGCATAGAGTTGTGTATGTTTTGAGGGGCGACACAGAATCGTATAGTTAATGTTATATAACGCCCGTCACATAAAACAAGTCAACACCTTTTGAGTGGTGGATGTGCTTATCATTCGGTTCCACAAAAGACTTAAACATTAAGGACAATACAAATGCCACAAAAATATAAATACAATTCAATGCAATGAGAGGTAATTTATGTAAAAGTGTTGTCCCACACATTGATAATATACAATTGACTTTGAGATAACAAAACTTAATTTTTATAGTAGTGTTAATTGTGTTTTTTATTTGTTAGTCATATAATATGATACAAAATGATAGGCGAGTTTTGAATTTCAAAAATTTTATTAATCTATTTTTTGTCATCTCATCTATCACATTTTATATTTCAAATTGCTGTGTATTTTATATCAATGTTTGAATTTTTAATAATGTACTATTAATGCATGTGAAATGTTAGATAATCTGTTATTTGATATAAAAAAATCTGTATATTTATTTCAATGAATAATAAAATAAATATTTTCGTAAAATTTGTTATATTAAATATCATATAGCAATTTGATATATGTCTTCCTAAAAATTTTAATTATTATTATTAACTAAAAAACAGATTTAATCAAATATTAGGTTTAAAGGTATATTATACAATATTTCAAACAAATTTAAATACATTATAATAATAAAGAAAAATCTAATTATATTATAATATTTTTTGTTAAATTAAATTAATTAAACTACTACAAAACATTAATCAATGATTTACAATTATTATAAATTTTTATATTGCGGTAGATTCAATTTTTTAAATATTACAAYATCATAAATTTATTATATCATAATAAATAACTTATATATTCAAATTTATAGTTTTATTAAAAAACAAATCAAATGCTACTGATTTTAGCTTTAATTAAGATTAAAATATGCATTTATCAGTTTTTTATGGCCATTTACATGCTAATTAGCAATTATTAACTTATTTTTTTATTTAAAAAATCAACATTTCTCATAATTGAATGAATACTTAAGTAATATTAACTTCAGCAAAAAAAAACAAAAACTATTTTATATGTATAAACTAAATTAATATTACTGTATTAACAAATTTGTCTAATATTGGATTCATTTTAGTGTTCAAAAGTGTTTAAAAAATAGTAATAACAAAATTAAAATATCATAGTTGATATATAAGTAAAATGAAAACGTAAAGCAAATTGCCTAATAATATTATCATATATACAGTATATTCAATTGTTTAGATAAAGAAAAAGATTTAATTTAAACAAAATTCATAAATAAACAATTTTTTATTAATATTTTCGACATATTAACCTAACCTTAAACTAAAAATGAGGACAAATAAAAAGCGAAACTAATTTTGCCTTCAAATAAATGTCTGAATCTTTGATGAGATTAATAGTAGAATAATTTTCTGTAGGAAATATATAATAATAAAAACTATTATTATTATTACAGTATTATTATTTGCAGATCACCACAAAAGACACATAAACTAAATGATAGTTAAACTTATAGGCGTGAAAACAAACCATTGTCTTCAACATTGCCTCCCATTTATGTAAAATTATGCCCAAAAAAGGAACTTTTAATGAGTTATGAAATCATTTCATATAATAATATAACACGATTTGCAAAACTATCAATTAATAATTTATTAATATGTTTGAAAAATGTAAGATTTCAATCTTAATTTTAGYYATTTTAAAATTAATATTAATTTTCAATTTCATTTTAAAAATAAAATATCATATATTAGTTGACTTTAAAAAGATARCTAAAAATAAATACTAATTTTTTCTCATATATAAACACACACACATAGATTATTTTTGTTGTTTATTAAACTTAAATAACAGATTATTAATGATTATAACAATTCAACACTCGACGTGATATTTTATTAATATAATATAAATTATTAATACTAAAAGTTTGTTTCAAATATTTATTTGGGACAACACCTGAGTTTCATATTAACGTTAATTTATTATTCAAATCGAGTCATAATTTGTGCATATATTAGGATATGCTTTAGTATGGCTAAAAAATCTCATCTAAATATATAATTAATACCAAAATGCAAAAAGATTTATCAATTATCTCATATAATTTTCTCGGCACAAAAATGCAAAAAATATTTGAAGTGTAGTGTATAGTGGGATAGGATGTACTCAATATTTGAGTATAAGAAATGCAAACTTTGTAATTAAGGTAATTATAAAGTAGCGGTTCATTGCATCTCAATTGTCTCCACCCATCAATACAATACAACAACCTCTTCGACAATAACAATAACAACAGCAAACACATAGAGTTTTGGGTGTTTTGTCCCCTCATTAATAGCAGGCGGAGGCTTGCTTTATATGCATACATACAATGTATAAATTATATGATATTTTATTATAAAAGTCAGTGAGAGAGAGGAAAAGAGAAAAAAAGAAAGAAAGAAAGAAAGAGAGAGAGAGACTCAAAATAAATCCAATTCTTCTTTAGAGTATACTATATAAGTAAAGGTGAACACAGAATAAACCTAATAATTAAAGGGATACTCAAAATCGTGATTAAACGTGCCTTAAATATAGTATATATATATATGATAAGATATTATAGTTTTCTATTACATACGAGTCATTTTAAACTTTTGCTAAAAATTGTATTTATAAGAAAAAATGGATTTATAAGATGACCATTTGTTTTGTTATTATTATTAATTTATTATTATKACTATTATTATTATAATTTCCTTAATATAATACAAATATATAAAACATTTTTCTCTACAATTTGTACATTATATCTACACATCCCATAACAAAAATGTTATGCAATTTTGGTGTTATGTATGTCACACCCATAGAATCTAAAGCACATTACATAATATTTGTGTGTATGTAAATTATGCATGTATATAAATATACACTCTATATATATATCTAGTGTGTGTATGTATGTATGTGTGTGTGTGTGTAATACCTTCTAAATTATCTTTGTTTTCCAATCCATTGTCACTGTTATTAGATTCAGTTGTAACGGTCAATGGTGGTGATGCCGATCGACAAATGCTATCACCAATACTGGTATCCAMTCTAATACTTTCATTATCTGATCCACTAAATGGTGATAATGAGCGACGATTTTCTTCTTTGTTATCMTTGGATTTGGTTGGAAACGATGTACGACTTGTGTTGGCTGAAAGACATGTATTCTTTGAGTCCAACTTTTTGTTATTTGACGTAAAATGTTTGAGATTTAAGTCTTTAGTGTCTCTTGAGTTGAGTTTTTCCAACCCATACCAACCCAACAACTCATTCATTGTGTTTTCAACGTAATTCTGTTCAATAAAAATAAATAAATAAAATAATACAAATAAAAAATGTTATATAGTATATAATGATATATAATTRATAGATAGTTATAAAGTATATTAATAGTCATATAATTAATAATTTGTTAACAAACRGTAGTATAGAAATAGTAATAAAGAAATTATTTATTTTTATTTAATCTTTAATTAATCCTTAATTTCTCGTATTATATCCAAAAAATGCATTATAAATAAAATAAAAAATAAAGAAATAAATGATATTCTGTATATAAATTCATTCATCAAAATGTTTTTCTGTCATATAAATTGTTTGGTTATAACTTATAAGTAAATTATATTTATATAGAGTTTATAGARAATAATATTATATAGTATTATATATATTATAGAATATTTTAGAATATAATATATAATAAAACATTATTTGAGTAATCCATTAGTTAACCGATCAAAATAGTTGAGGCATTCAAACGGTAATCATAACAAATGATTTGCACAAATCATATCTCGTTTGTAGTTCTTATAATACAGTAATATATTGTATTTAATAGTTATATGTCTACCAATGTTTTTGGTTTTTCTTCAAACTTGTGCTATAAAATTGCTTCAAATATGTTTTATAATAATAATATTATCAATACTCAAAAATGTTCAAACATACAGTAATCTACATATGCCTGTTCACAGAGATTTTTATGTTTAAGATATTGCTTAGTAAAACGTATAGAAAATTTATAAAAATAAATTATATTTATGAATATCTAGATTATATTTTTTTATAGCTATTCAACTTATGAATTAGTGTTTAAACAATTCATAAATATAATTAAAGCAAAATATATGTAAATATTAATATATTTATTTATTTCATTTGAATTCTGAACTTAAATGCGTTACTAACCTAAAGGTAAATCAAAAATCCATTAAAATTGATGCATAAATCACATGAAAATTATGTGAGAAAATAGAGACATAAATATAAAAACATATATTCATACTGTATATCAAACACGATATTATAAAATAACAAACAAAAAAATAAATGAATGAGTGATCAACACAAAAGACAAGACAAAAATCGATACCTAAATGGACTGTCGTTTCTGGAGGATTGAGTACCTCATAGTTGTAGAGTTAGTACAGTAAGTATTGATATGTATTGGCGCCCAAAGAGCGTGTATTGGACTCATTCATCATAATATTTGAAGAAAAGTGCGAAACACATCATCAAAAAACCAATGGATGGTATGCTTTATGGGTGAATACTATCACTAAAAATACTACAAACTATTCACAGCACTCATCCAATTTGTGGCCCATATTATTGACCTAAAAGTACTGCCCATATATCTAAGTTAACTTATGTACTAAAACGTGTGTCTAAGTCTATAAATATATATTATATGAGTTTTGTCTGTTTAGATATAAAGCATTGACTAGTGATAGGATGTGGTCCGCAAATGACTCAATAAAAACTTGCGATACTAATGACCCAAACAGTCCTTAAAGCAATACAACACTACATAAAACCACACCAAATGCCTCACTATTTTAAAACTCAATATCAATAATATGGAAACAGATTTCTCACTATTAAAGATAATATGAATGTCAGTTAATATATAAAAGATTGGGAGGAAAGAGAGATAATACAGTATATAAATAATAATAAGGAATCAATGGTAGATATAGAGAGAAATGAACAAAAATTAGAGTAATTTCATACAACAATAATATAACTTATATTTGACTTAATGTTTGTTTCTATTATATACTATGTTTTAGATGTCTTATTCACTGAAAGTTCTTATTAATATAAAAATATAATAATAATAATTTTAAAAATAATATATTGTATAGTACATTATAATAATTTTGGTGATAATTTATTTGTCTTATAAATAGGCTTAAAGAAAATATGAAAAAATAGTGTTTTTACAAAAGAAAAGCATTAAAATGTAAAATACAATAAAACTATATTTTTCTTAAGAATTGAGCCAAGAATTTATTTGAATAGTGAAAATCATTTGACAAACAAAATAACTTTAAAAGTGAATTAATTCTCGTTTCAAATGCAGAATTTCATATATATATTGTAATATTCTGTTTGAAAGCAAAATAAAATGAAATTATTGTAAAAACCATTTGCTTTACACATAATAACAACAACAACACATCGAGTCTGAAGGGAACGGGAGGAGGAATGCAATGAGTGAGTGAATGTATTTGATGTGTTGCCAGATTAGGGGTGACGCCCATCACAAAGACACTGATCACCACATATACCACTAGTGTCTGAAAAAGACTTGAAAAGGAAAGATGATTACAAAAAATGAGTGAAGACTTCTTTTAATGTCCAAAAAAACCATTCATTCATTTCTCTGTCTTTTATGATATTGATTGCAATTGTGAACAATACACACAATTGTACTGTTAATGTACTCTCAAACAAATATGATATAAATTCACTCAAATATTATTTTTTACATTTATATTTGAAATCTATTTTATTATTTAAATTATATGAATAAAATATTATACTATTATTAAAAGCTATAATACAAACAATATTTTTTTAATCTAACACAACAACAAAACAAATGACAAWTTGTGTAAATTATAAATGAAAATTCTATAGCAATAACTAAAGATTTTAATAATAAACTACTGAAATAATTTAAATAATAACTTTATTAAGAAATGATAAATGAGATAAAAAATATTTTTTTAGCAAAATAATAGTAAATAATTTGTTTTTATTTAATAGTAAAATGAARGAAATTTCAAACTATCACTAATATATAATATATCCGATATTTTAAGGCACTTATCGGTCATTCGATAATTAAAGTTAGAAATAATAAAATATAATTAAATGAATATTTAGTATTTGAGTGAAGTGTCATATTTCGCGTTTTGACAAAACAAGTATTCAATTAATGTTTATCAAAGCTATGAGAGAGCACTGGGAGTTTCATCACAGCGTGTCGTTTGTTTTTAATTTGATCAAAAGCCATATAATATGCAGAGTAAGGATCGGGTGTCATCTGAAAAATTTTGTACACCGATACCATTTACATGCATTACCCAATATGGCAATGGAGGCCAGGGATGGYTGTGATGTTTACAAGTGTGAGTGAAGAGAGTGTGTGAGTTTGTGTGTGTGTGTGAGAGAGAGAGAGAGAGAGAGAGAGAACCTGAAAGTCATCCAATACTGAGACATCCGATCTCTGCTTCTTTAGTTACAGTAAAGGTCTAGCATTACGTTTTAATGGACAGATGTATTGCTTTCTGCACAAACACTATGTGTGTGCTCTACGAATAAAACATACTCCCGGAGCTACACATACACAGGTTGTGTAGTATATGTATCGCAATACACACTATTTGTGACAACTGTCTGCAGAAGAAACTCAAAACACTTTTTGCTGTTTTTCTCTTTGCTTCTCATACTGTCTCTACTCATCTTCCAATGGGATGCCATACTATCCCTAATATATAGTATTAATTTCTGCGATAAAAACATTGATGAGATATGAGAGAGAAAAATGAGAGCTGAGCTTACGGTGCAAAATAAGGTTCACAACAATTACACTACAAAAATCATATGAATAAGTTTATATATTTTATATATGGTTGTGATTATTATAAAAATGAGTGCCTTATTATAATCAGGTATCARATAACACTTGTGTCCTAATAATAAAAAGAACTAAAACTAAATAATACACAAAAATACTTTAATATACTGAATATCTATTAATATTCTGGACATAAAAGCACGAGATATGAGATCAACAAAAATGATATCTTYAGTAAATTTGATCGCATTGTATGTACTTTCAGGCAATTTATGAAATCGTAAACTTTGAATGTTTTGCAACTCAATCGTTAAAAGATTCACCAATTTATCCGACAATTCTATCTCTCTCTCTCTCTCTCTCTCTTCTCTCTCTCTCTCTCTCTCTCTCTCAACATCAACAACAATAACGATTATACTCTTTACTGATATATTGTTTCAAATGGTTTATTGAAAATAAAAGAATWAAATTTTTAGTAAAACTTTAAATGAAAAAATATTTATCATAAAAATTATGAAAACTAATTTAAATATAYAATATTAATAAAGGGTTGTTTTAATGTTGAAYAAATTTATGGGTTTATTATTTATGGAATATTCTTTGAGAAATTATTATTTTTAGCACCAAAAATAAGAGGTAAAACTTATAACAAAACTGACTTTTATTTTTCCATATGTATGTCTATTCAAGTATTGCTTAACAAACTCGTGAATGTCAGTCCATATTTTTATTTAAGCAAAAAATAAGTGTAAAATAATATACTCCATAGTATCTAATGTCTATACTTTATCTCTCATTAGTTGTTGGCACCGGTAGTTATATATTAACAAAATGTATGTAAGAAGACGCTCTCATTGCCACTCAAACTGACTATTTATTACTTTAACAGATAATACTGTATTAAGCAATATTATTGTGACAACAATACAATAATGAAATTTTGATCTATTATATTGAATATAACATTTTATTATAATAAACAAAATTATAACTTTACATCCAACTCTTATATAAACATKTTTTAAAATATGATAAATTTAATATTGTATAACTTTTTCTTTGTTCAATAAAGTAAAATATGCATAATATTAATTATATGATTATCACAATTATCAATTAAAAATAATAATTATTATAAATTGTAATTACAAACAAATAAATTATTATTTGTCTATTAATATAATAAAAAATAGTTAAATATAAGTATTAAAATATATTGTAATTAATATAAAATCAGAATTTGCATACATTTTAGCTGTGAAAATCAATTGAAAAAATGAGTTTTAAATACACATAAAAAAGCAAAAATTTAACGATAAAAGTGACAGATTTAATCACATTTAACAGTGATTTGTCAAAACGCCAATAAAGTCATTTAAGTAACTAAATGTTTGCGAGACCTTAGAGTCACTGGCTTTGGGTCATATGATAGCTATAATTATATCATATAATGTGTGATGAATATTAATATTTTACTTAAATAATGTTATTGTAATATACAATTTCATTATAATTTATAATAATTTAAATATAAATATAGTTAYTAATAAACTTATTTAAAAATAAACATAAATATGAAAAAATTAAAGTTAAAAATGGTAAATATTTTAAAAATGCATAAGAATAACTAATATATACAGTCAATATATATTTATTATTTTAAAATTACGAATTTCTATTTATTTTAAAAACTTTTGTATTTTATAAAATTTAGTAAATAAAAAATATATTTAAAGTATTTTAGATATAATGAAATGAATGAGACAAACCTTAATGTCGTCGTTGGGCTCTTGTTTGCCACTCTTGGCGTCAGTCGTGACCGTAGATGTCTTCTTGTGTTTAAGTTTAGACACTTTGAGACGTTTATCAGTTGCAATGGTCTGACAGAATCTCATCAACTCCTGAGGCGACGGCAATACACTATTCATAGCGCTATTCATATTAAATGTCTAAAACATGTCTCATGTATTGCTGACAACAAATTCAGGGCATATGAGGAGGGAATTGACGCAAATTCAAAACCAACAGCTCTTCAACACCACTCACAGCCAACAGTGCTGAGCGCCTGTGCTTTTGGGCTCACGTTTCTGTTGGGCGCACAATACGGATCATATTATATTCATTTAGTTGTAGCAAAAAATAGTCATTTGCTTTAAGATCAGACTTTATGACTATAAAAAAGTCTACTTCTAAGGACAGCTCTAAATGAATGAATTGTAATTACTTTACTATMAAAACAAACTGTTTAACAATAAACACAACTTTTATATTATTATTTTGAAAACACAGACAATAAAAGATAGTAAAGAGTGTTCAATAACACCATTGATTGTTATGTTTTCAGATATTCTTCAAACCAAATAATGCTTTATTCTAAATGAAATTATATATTAAAAACATATCGGATTACTGAGTTGTCTATAAGTTTACACAMAAAAAAACATGAATTAATAGTTGTTTAAAATTGGATAACTATAAAATTGTAGTCTTTCGAAAATGTAACAATTTATAACATTATTTTAATCATAAAACGTTTATATTATTTATTTCATTCATACGTTTCATATAAAGATCACATTTAAATCAATTTATGTCAATAGACAACAGTTTCCTGTGCGAGCCTTAAAATACTTTGCAAAAGTTAACTATATCTCCCCTAAAAAGTTAGATATAAATTGGAGTAAAAAATATTGACTCTCTTTAACTTTTAGAGACAGATTTTGCGCGAATCGSATCTCAATTATATATATATATATATTTCTCTCTTTCATTTGAATCTCAAACTGCAAACCTCTCCTAATCTTCAATYATATATACATTTTCAGTGAGTTATAAATCAAAATTGACGACTAGTATAGAGAAAACATGGAGTTATAATCAAAAAATTGTATAGCAATTACTAAATGATATAACATCTGTTCGGAGATTATTACAGAACTCACACCAACTGTACTCAAGTGCCACAAAATATTCAATAATTGTGTGACGAAATGTTTAGCCACAAGTCATATAGGAGTCATTGCTAAAAAACAGAGAGAGAGAGAGAGAGAGAGAGAGAGAGAGAGAGAGAGAGAGAGAGAGAGAGAGAGAGAGTCAGAGAGTGATGTTTGAGTGCCGACTCTTCTTTAGCTATCAAATTACTTTCAAAACATTTATTTTTGTTTTGTATTTCTAACTCAAGGCCTAAGTTGATCCGTGTGTGTATAAGTTGTAGGTATGAGTGAGTTAGTGAATGTGAGAGAGATTGAGAGCAAATGTCTTGTATGGGACGGACCGTGTTTTCCATGAAAACAGATCATAATTATAGGTATAGATGCGGACTCTCTCACAGAGGAGGTTCTCGTATCCAAACGTAAATATTAATAGCATATTACATATGATAAAGATATGCCGCGCGGCTGGTCATAGCTTTTTGATACCGTCTCTTAACATTAATGATTAGATCTAACTTTTTATTGAAGGGATTGGAGCCTAAATAGTGAAAGAGTGGCCAATAAGTCTATGATATTTATATATTGCATATATACAGTATATATRTATATAGTGTCAATAAGATAGTATGTAATTTCATTTAGTGTTTGGCATCAAGTTTTGAAAAGTTTTAAATTTTATTATAAAAATCTTTTTTGCTTATAATAGGATATAACGCTTTTAGAATGTATTTTATTCAAGTAATGAAAAATACTTTGAAAATAAATATTACGGAAATATAATACAAAAAACGAAACTCAATACATGAATATTGGATTTCGTCGACGATATTGTATTCAAGGATAAAAAACAAGGATTTCATTATCTAGTGATCTGTTAATGGCTTAGCAAAGTGTATATCTATCGATATATATATATATTGTATGTATATACTGAATATAATGTCAAATTTGCATTAAGTGAAATATAAATCAACAAATAAACAAATTATAAGATAAAAATAATATTCATTAATAATTTAACTAAAAAAATCATTTGATAACTGAGATTTGCGATCAAATTATTACAGATTTGAAATATACTTATTTCAATAATTTTTATATTAGTAATAAAATTCATATAAAATAAACTATTTAATTACAATCGTGRCCTTTTSTATTTGATAAATCATAAATTGTATTTTAATACAGTATTATAATTGATAAAAAAAATTTACATAATAGKTATTTTAAAATTAATGAATTAAAATATTTATTTTTATATAACAACTTTGTGAATGTGTATGTCAAGATTGCGAAAGGGGGTAGGGGGTAAGGCCATCTTACCCCCACTGAGATCGAGATTTTTAGGTCTTACCCCCTGGCCTAGAGCAAAAAAGTTAGGGAGCCCCCCTACCAATTAATTTTTTAATTAATGTAAAGTTTAATATTAAACAAAAATATAAATACTAATTGAGTTTTAATATAAATAAATAGCTTATCTTTACAAAATAAATAAATAAAAACTTTTTAAATACTGAAAAAACTATCTAGAGTTGGGGCATCTTAAGGGTGAATAGTCCCTTAATAAATTCCCTCCAATTTTACAAAAAATATTGATGTTTTTATTTTATAAATTTATAATAATTGTTTATGCTTCTATTTTTTTGTTTATGTCTTTCGCAACCCTGTTGTGTATGTGTGTATGTGTGTATGTGTGTATGTGTGTATGTGTGTATGTGTGTATGTGTGTATGTGTGTATGTGTGTATGTGTGTATGTGTGTATGTGTGTTTGTGTATGTGTGTATGTGTGTATGTGTGTATGTGTGTATGTGTGTATGTGTGTATGTGTGTATGTGTGTATGTGTGTATGTGTGTATGTGTGTATGTGTGTATGTGTGTATGTGTGTATGTGTGTATGTGTGTATGTGTGTATGTGTGTATGTGTGTATGTGTGTATGTGTGTATGTGTGTATGTGTGTATGTGTATGTGTGTATGTGTGTATGTGTGTATGTGTGTATGTGTGTATGTGTGTGTGTGTATGTGTGTATGTGTGTATGTGTGTATGTGTGTATGTGTGTATGTGTGTATGTGTGTATGTGTGTATGTGTGTATGTGTGTATGTGTGTATGTGTGTAAATGTGTGTATGTGTGTATGTGTGTATGTGTGTGTGTGTGTGTGTATGTGTGTATGAATGTGTGTATGTGTGTATGTGTGTATGTGTGTATGTGTGTATGTGTGTATGTTGTATGTGTGTTTGTGTGTATCTTTTAACTAAAAAAAAATTAACAAAAAATTAGCATTTGATTATAAAATTATTATATTAAAAAATAGTTATTTGTTAAACAGTTTAAAACTTTTAGAAAATATGTACTATTGATATATGATATACTGATATAAATGATATAATATATATTATATAACATATTTTATTWAAATTTAATTAATATATATATAAATACTGTATACGGGAAGTGATAATATATCAATACTAACCWATAATTATAAATTAAATAACTTAAATAACAAAATTTAACAAATTTATTGTTACGTAATATAATTTTTATTAGGTTTACATCTAAAAGCGTAATATATAAAAGAATATTTAGGCMTTTAATTTAACATTGATGATTTAGTTAAAGTTTATATTAGTTTTAAATAAGTTATATAATATAACTTATATTAATAGTTTTATARTTAATGTTGTTGATAAAAATTGTTATTWTAATCATAATTKACYACAACATTGAATAATACATATATTAAATGTAATTCATTAAGTAWAATAAATACMAGTAAATATCTAAACTCATTAATATAATTGTCTAACAATATTGTTAYGCAATAGMTATTCATTACTATTTAATAATCATATCCATAGCCTTTAATGAAGTTAAGCACAAAGTTTAATAAATTTATTATAGTTTTATATTTWTACCAAATATATATCGTAATTCATTTAATATTTTGTTACATTTATTATAATTGCAATACAATTATTGTTGACATAATGTTTTAYATTATATTAATATCTTTTTAWATTTTTAATATGATATGAATTGTAATACTAAAAAATATCAATAAATACTGTATAAAATATTTAGACCTCTAATGGAAATGWATCTCAATCTGAAATTTAATAAATCWTATAAACTTTTAGAATATCTATTGGTTTTATTTTATTATAGATTTTCGGAAAAGAATATAATAATAGAGTTTGACTATAGATTTAGTGATGTATTGATCAATATATTGAAGCAAATGACACAACGAGATAGTAATTTCTGTAATCCCATCAGTACTACAATCAAACAATTTGTTAACAATATATTAATAACTTAAACATATTAATGATTTACTAATGACTTTACTATTAATTTTTATTTTTACATTWTWRCAAATACTTAKCAATAGTTTTTTAAATATAGTTATTGTACAGTATTTAKAATAGAGTATTATTGTTAAATAGACTTTTTWAAGACTTATTAATATATAGTAATCGTTCAATTAAACCAACTTTTATTATGATTTTTAATATAATTTTTATATTTAAAGGTTATTTTTTTAAAATCTAACTTTAATAAACAATTTGTTATGTATTTTATTTTGTTATTATTAATTTGTTGAAATTTAACATATCTAATCTAATTAAATTGACATTTAAAAATGATTGTAGTGTATTTAAGTAAAATTTAACTACAAAAAAAGTTTTATCAAGATTTTGTAAGTTTGTAATATTAAATTTTTAAATATATTTTGATATGATGTTATAAATGTTATATCTAACAGTTAAAATATGAAAATKTTTTTTKTTGGTAAAAACTAACTAASTTATAGACTATATTGTTAGYCAAACAATTAATGATATGATTATAACAGTAACTATTTAATATAATTTATAATTATCCAAATAGATATAATTTAACATGAACAATTTTTATTTAATTCATACTATTATTAATTATTAATATATATAAAAGACAGTAAGCGACCCCCATTACCGACCCCCGCATAGGAGTGGCTTTACGTGTGTATTAATATATATAAAAGACAGTATACGACACTCATTAACGACACCCACATAGGAGTAGCTTTGTGTGTATAGCACTAGCACTGTGTGTGCAGATATTATATACAGAAGCTAGAGAGGCAATACTATTAATGCTAGAGAGGGACATCTGACGTCATAGCACAAGCCAACCTAAAAGTAGTATTCAATAGTACAACAAAATTGAGACCTGAAAAACAAACGCCACTAAACAAAATATGATAAAATAAAAATGCAAATAAAGATTTATTATAATTAACACGATTATTAATAAATAAATTATAATAATAATTAATAAAAATAAAACTTAAATATTAAAATTTTAAATTTGATTAAATATATAGTTTTATATAATATACATTTATAAAAATATATAACTCGTTATTATATTTTTTATTATTAAAAATAACAACTTTAATAATAATAATATTAATAATCAATACAATAATAATTAAATCATAATTATAATAAATATAAGACTAATATTATTAATGATAATAAAATTGTTGAGAAACTCAAATTATCTTATTTAATTTTAATGTCTATTTTAAAATCAATACCTTTTAGTGCATTTAATACCTTATTTTGAATTTATTTATCTCATTATACTACCTGTTCCTGAGTAAGTACGAGTAACTATATAGTGATCGATCATTCAAATTATCTAACCGTCAATATATTTAAACTATCCAATAACTGTACTCCCTGTACCTCCCTATTTTATAAATTGCAGTACTGACAATCAAACAGTCAGTACAATCCTAACTACCATTACTACCAGTCATATAGTATACACATACCATTGCATTCAACATACATGTGCTCTTAAATATACTTTTTATATAATCATTGTTTTAACCACTATTTTAATTGTGTTAACTATAATAAAATATAACTAAATTATTGTCTTCACCTCAACGTTGAATCGATCACCACATCTACACTATTCATCCAACTCAAGCATCCAAAATTTACCTTTCCCTGGCCATCCATACAAGTTATCAGTATTATTAACGGATCTAGTTTTTCGAAACTATCAGTTGTTGGTCTCATACCTACCCAAGCAAAAAAAACTGATCCCTAATCTACGACTACCACAAGAAAATAATCTATTCAAATATAAAATATTATTTAATAAGTCTTATTTTACACAATTTAATAAAATATAAACTATAGAAATAAATCTAAATAACCAAAACAAATTACTTCTAAAAAAATATGAACTTTATTTTTTGTTATCATAACTAAAATCAGATTTGTCATATATATATCATATTTATTTTTAGTCTAAGAAACGTCTACAAATTAGTATTTAATCAATTGCATATTTTTGATTAAACATATTATTTATTAAAAACTTAATTAGTAATATAGATTTATTTTTTTAGATGATTTATTATTCTGTTATATAAATAAAGTGGCGTCAGAGTCTACGGTCTCAATTTTTATGTTTGCTAAATACCGTCTCATATATCCTGTATATAATGCTTGTGTGTGTGTGACTGTGAACTACAGTAAGCTATACAATACATCTACAGTACATGTATTAACATAACACACTTAAACACATTATAAGCATTGATATCATATGTGAGACATAGGCAACACTTTTACAGAGAGTCTTAAATAGTGGCGGCGGAGATGCTATTAATTACAATTATATGGTCAACAATACATTGAATTAAAAAGTGACCAAGGACAATGTTGTAGATGATTTTAAACTAAATAAAATTGTAATTGGTCATTTTTAAATTAATTGTATGATTTGCCAGATAAATGCAGTCGACTATCATTTATAAATTTTTTAAACAGTCGACTGTAAATTATTTAGCATATAATACAATTAATTAAAAAATGACCAATTTAAATTTATAATTATCTACAACATTGCCCTTGGTCACTTATTAATTCAACGTATTGTTGACCAGATAATTGTAATTAATAGCATCGCCGCCGACGCTGTTTAAGATTATCTGACACTTTCACAAAGTTTTCATAACATTTCAAAACTAATATTTCAAATTATTTGTCGCTATTGTCTCAATAAATACTATCCTTGAATTAAAATATATTTATAATAAAAATTTTGATTTAATTTAATTAAAACGGGCCGTAATTACGGGCTTTAAAGTCTTGTCACATTTACAGCAAAGTTATTTTGATAATAAAACAATATAATTAATTTATACATTACTCTACATGTACATATATATATGTATTAGTCAAAAAAGGTTAATTATCACCTTATTTTTGAATATTATAATTTTTCAATAGATTTGGTTTTGTTTGTTAACATTTGATKTGCTTTAGCTGTYATTTTCATCAAATTGTCATCAATTRTTGCAAAGTTATAGTCGACCTGAAGATATTTAATACTAAAATAATCAAATGGATCTGAAACCGCATCACTAAAGARCCGAAGACCATCCATGAAARTATCAATACTGTATTGGRAGAAAATACAGTGGWATATAGTACTGTCACYAAATGGATCCGAGAGTTCATAAGAGGACGACAGTCTCTCGAAGATTAGAAAAGTCTTATTTGTAAAMTTAAACAATSATTTTAATAATTAAAGCAAAAGGCAATAATAAATGCAATTAACTAACCTTTGAAATAAATAAATGCTTATTAATTATTTATAAGTTATGATTATTTAATTAATTACATTAATATAAATCAATTACTTTATATAATATTTATATAAAAGTTTATAATTTATGTTTTATAGTATTTGAAAAAACAATTGAAATTATTGACAGTTTAGTCGTTATAATTGTTAATGCAATCAATGTTTGATTTCTATAGACTTGTAAATTGAAATCATTGATAGACTCTATTCACTAAAGATAATCATTTTTMTAATAAAGTTTTTAATCAATTGATTTATTGACAATAAAAAGTTAGTATTGAACTGAATATCGAGGAGAGCTATAATTTAGACGATAATATAACTGATCCAATGGTTGGCCACAACAGCGATCGGTTTGAACAGCTGTCGGATAACAACAAACTAAAACAAGAGCTGTTGTGCGGTATTTGCCTCAAAGTCATCAATAATGCCATTCAAACCCAATGCAAACATAACTTCTGCAGTGAATGTCTTAAGAGATGGTTAGAGCAAAGGACGAACAAAGAACGTAAAGATTGTCCCGAATGCAGACATTTGTTGACTTCAAGAAAGCGAAGCAAAACTGTGGCAAATAGTAATGATATACAACTTGTAGCCAATGTTTGGGTAGAGAAAAACCGCACAATTAATAACATAATCGGCTCTTTGAAAGTTAGATGTGATAATCAATGCAATGGATGCMAACATGTGATGCCATTGGATCAATTGGCAGTACATCTTAATAATTGTCACCACAAGATATGTTCAAAATGTGGATTCAATCACATTATTAATGAAGAAACTTGTATTGACTTACTGAAGAAGAAATGTGAGACTTTGATGACTGAAAATATAATTATGAAAAGAAAATCTGATGAATACATAAATGAATTGAAAGACACGAACCAAAAGTTTGTAGTTTTGGTGAATTGGTTTAATTTTATTGTCCAAAAACACAACAAATTGGACGCCGAATGTAATGAAGTATCAAAAACAAGTCTGACTTTGTATGAGAAGATCATTGAATTCAAGGAATGGAAACATCGATTGGAAGAGACATTAAAAGTTTATTTCCCACAAAATAAAGACAAAAAGTTGAGATTTTGTACCATTTGTGATGAAACCAGTGGACAATTGATTGATTGCTCCAATAGTTATTGTGTAATCACTTTGTTTTTTCGTATAATTACTGTTAATATTCAATAATAACATTGATTTTAATAGAAAGTAAGAATACATCGTCAATGCATTGAATCAATTAAGTGGTCTATCGATGGTTTCTTATGTCCTAAATGTAGAAGAAGTGCCATTGAAAAGTAAGTCTAACTTTTTATGATAATAACTAATTTTTATTACACAGAAATAGCTATAAGATTACCGAACCTATCGAGAGTTACATATCAAACAATAATCAATCGGTGGTTAAATATCCCGTCACTGTTATTGCTACTGATATTATATTTGGCACATTTGTGTCCAAAATCAAAGATGTCTTGTTCGACAGCGACGGCATTAAGTTTTCAACCGTCTATATCGTCAAAGTCTGTGGATCTATCGATACTAAGTTTCAATCGTTTCACTTATCAATTCCTTTCCATAATATAAACCACATTATCTGCTCAACTCATTGTACATCACTATCACTGTTGGCAATACTGGTTGATAATAATACAAATCTACAAATCAATAGTTGTTTGCGTTTAAGTACTGAAAGTAGTGATGGTTTTACCTTTAATGTCAACTCTAATGGTTCGTAATTTTTCAAAATTGTTAGTTATTAATAAAAAAATAATCAATTGTAATATTACTGTATAATAGATGTGCGCGAAAAGTATATACTAATATCATTAACCAAATGGATGACCAATACATTTGTGGACAAACTTAGACAAGTGGCGCATAAATACAACAATAAGTGTATTTGTGATTCACTAAATGTCACTCATTTTATCGATACTTCAATGAGGAACAACTAAAGTGACAAATAGTTTACTATATGACTGTGTATAATATATAAATTACCGGTAAATTAATTTTAATAATTATTTTAGTGGTAATAATTATACTGTATTACAYTTTATTATACTGTACTACCGGCAATAGAAAAAATGATCTTTTATGTATCTTTAAAAAAACTAAACAAATAAATTTTGAAATACAGTATAATGTAATTTACAATATATACATTTAAAATGATAGATTTGTGATATAATTTAATGTACCGTAACTTATGAAATCAAGTTAACAATATTGCGGCCAATAAATGTAGTGATGGCTGTCCATGAAGTAATACCGATGGCACCTGAAATAAATGATTTAAATAAATACAACAAAACTAAAACATTCAAATTAAACAACAAAAACAAAATAAATTCAAATACCGGAAACACCGGTAGGAAAGGCCAGAATAAAACCAAACGGATAGAAGAGATGTTCGGGAATTCTGAACAATACTTCGTACCGATAGTTCCACAATAAATATACGGTCACTACGGCCTATACATACAAATAGATATAATTGTCATTAAAATAGATAAATAATATATACATATATATATGTATATCATATATCATATGTATAACAATTATATATTACCGAAATAGAGTAGAAAATAACGTAAAATAAAACACGAGCTTTGATACGAACAATGGTCTGACTATCGGCTGAATCAAACAAATGACAACCAAATTGTAGTAATTGATAGAAAAAAACAATAATAACATACATTGGCTTTTCAGCTGATCCTTGGCTTTGTTAAGCTTTCTATCGATTTTAGCGTATTTGGCGAACTCGTCGGACATCGAGATATCAGACAATTCTGTCTTAAGGTCGCGAATCTGTCGCCGCAATGATGTCTCCATTTTTGTCTCATTCAAGAAGACATTTAGTATCTATAAATAAAACWAACAAACAATTACTTAATTGATGACAATTAAGACAGTCATTAACAAATGACTGACCACTTTAACCATCAATGGTATGAATGCATTAAAGAGTGACCAAAACGTGACAAATATAAACAAATTAAAGTTGTAATCAGTTATGTCTGCCATTATGTTRTTGTCATTACTATAAGCAGGTCTTGTATATCATGCGATAACTGTTGTCCACAATAACATCAAAAGTGTGGATCACTTGAAGTAAACACAAGTATTAATAGTCATATAATTTACAGTACAGTAAAKTATGTATACAAACATTGATTCACTATTTGTATTGCATTTGTGTAATGCTTTTATCACTTGAATATTGTACTGTACTTACCATACAATCAGTACTATTAATATAATATTAATATGTAATAGCAGTCAATACAGTATAAGACAAATTCAATGATACAATAATTACTTTAAAATTGTTTGTGTATTAACTGAATAATTGCATTATTATTCAATTAAAACTTTAAAATTTATAAATCCATTCAAATTTAGATAATAACCAGTTGAGAATGCTAGAAAGCATTTCCACACGAATTCCTAATCATAATTAAAAATTAAATTCAGTAAGATAAAATATAATCAACTATAGTTATGTAGGGTATCAAACGATTTAGTATGACAAAATAAACAACTATAGTCATGTGGGGTATCAAATGATTCAGTATTACAAAATAAACTACTATTTTCCTAAAAAATAAACTTAAAAACGAAAAAAATAAAAAATCAATATTCAAAAAAAAAAAAAAAAAATTCAAAATTTTTTTAATTAATTTTTGGACACCATTTTCTTCATTTTCCTAAAAAATAAACTTAAATAAGAAAAAAAACAAAAAAATTTGTAGCGGATAGTGGATTCAAACCTATGTCCTCGTGGGACAGACCGACAGACCGACAGACCGACAGACCGAATTATAGAATGCATATACGTATTCCTTTCAGGAATTCGTGATAAGTCATTAAATTTGAATGAGATCATTTTCAGCGTCATCGATTGTTATGACTTCAATGTTGTCTTCAATGGTTACCACCATGATTTCGTTAACTCAAGCGAAGTCAATATCGTCTTCAAATATAAATGGATTGTTTTGAAGTGAAATATTGTTGACCTCGTCAGTGGCAATCTCTTGAGATTCGACTCTGATGTTATCTTCATTTGGTGCAAACAGATGATCGTCATCGTTTTATGCAAACATTGGTTCCTCTTGTTCAGAACAATATCTAGGATGCGGATAGTACATGTTGTGGTCAATTGGTGCCTAAAGATTATACAATCATTCTCAAAGACTTATTGTTGGTGGACTGGATGTTCGCCCTCCAATATCTCTATCTGTTGTCACTCTTCATTTTAGTCAAAGTTGACGTCCAAAATTTCTAGTTCCACCCAAAGTTTCACAATACAAACAAGTTTAATGAAGCCTTTATGACGCTCCATTCTTAAACATTGTACAAACTTCTCTGTCAAATGTGATGCTCACATGTTTCACACAAAAGTTCGGACATCAGCAGCACCGTTACGACATAGCATACTTTGCATTCGTCAATTAATGCCATCTGTTGCTAAATTCAAAAATTAATAAATAATTTATAAATTAGTCATAACAACTTACTCTTACTGTTGTAGATGATGCATAGCCAACCAAGCCAGACTGTTGAATGAAGGTCACTGCAGAAATAGCAGTCTTTATATACTAATTTGTCAGCCTACTGAGCAGTCGCACAACACGTCAAACCAAACTACATGTAAAGTTCGACACATTATGCATCAGAGGTCAAACCAAACTACAAGTAATGTTCGAAACCTATTATGCATCAGAGGTCAAACCAAAATACAATTAAAGTTCGACACATATTTTGCATCAAAGTTCATGGAAAACTACAAAAAAGGTATGACACTTACTGTGAATTCAGAGTTCATGGAAAAATACAAGAAAATTACGACAATTACTATGACATCAAAGTTCATGGAAAATTACTATAAACGTACTACACTTACTATTACGTCAGAGTTTATGGAAAAGTACTACCAAGATATTTTTAATTTTTCACATAATTCTATACTATTTTGTTCATTTCAAACAAGTACCTTTTTCTTTAATTTATTTAACATTAGTATTTAAGTATTAAAAATTTAATAAAAATTTAAATGCACATAACTTACATTATTACGATTATTTAAAACAAATCTAAACTTTAAAATTAAAATAAATTAAATTTAAATGCTGATCCCTTACATTATTAGAATTATTAACACAAATCTAAACTTAAAAATTAAAATAAAAATTAAAATAAATAAAAAAAAATATTTTAAAAAAAATTTTTGACACTATTTTCTTTATATTCCTGATAAAATAAACTTTAAAAAAAATTTAAAAAAAAAACAAAAAAATTTTTTTTTATTAATTATTGGACTCCATTTTGTTTTTTTGCTTAAAAATAAACTTAAAAAATAAAAAAAATAAATAAAAATTAAAAAAAACACAAAAAAAATCGTAGCTGAGGCTGGATTCGAACCTATGTCCTCGTGGGACAGACAGACCGACAGACCGACAGACCGACAGACCGACAGACCGACAGACCGACAGACGACAGACCGACAGACCGACAGACCGACAGACCGACAGACCGACAGACCGACAGACCGACAGACCGACAGACCGACAGACCGACAGACCGACAGACCGACAGACCGACAGACCGACAGACCGACAGACCGACAGACCGACAGACCGACAGACCGACAGACCGACAGACCGACAGACCGACAGACCGACAGACCGACAGACCGACAGACCGACAGACCGACAGACCGACAGACCGACAGACCGACAGACCGACTTATAGAATGCATATACGGATTCCTTTCAGGAATTCGTGAAAATCTATGAATCACTAAAAAATTAATTAATCTTTTATTTTGAATAATTATTTCATATAAATCAACAAAACTAATGTATAAATAATTTTAATAAATCTATAAATATTGAAATTTAAATRTTTTAAATATCAATATAAMTGATAAGATAATGTACTGTATATTAAATGTGCTTGTATATAACATATTTAGTTTATATATTGTATATTGTTAAATTTAAAGTAATATTAAAAATTCACAGTGAATAAAATATATACAAATAATWAAAAATATAAAACATTGGTAAAGTATATACAGTACTTATAAATTTATTACAATTGTGTAAATAATAATTAATTTACGATCAAATTTTAGGCCTTTTATTTGCAAATCTTTTAAACTTTTTCTCATTTTTCAATCTATTGATGTCATCATTGGTTAAATCAATGACTTTTGTGTGAAGACTTTTGTAAAGAAGTTCTGCATTTTTCGAGTTTCCCATAAATTCAGTCAATTCTTCWACACTTAATTCAATTAAATGATTGATTGATTTAACAGAATTCATAATATTGTAGATATTATTGATGTTAATTCCGGGTAAACATAACAGAAATTCTTTGCATTCGATGTCATATTTATCGGTCATATATTCGGCCGGCAATTGTTGGTGACCTTTGGCCAGTACTAACTTCTGGTCGGGTTCTTCTTTGTCTTTTTTCAAGTACTCAAACATTTCAGCACTAAAATGAGGTGATGGCGACCAAACCATTCTGAGTAGTGGAAAATGAATGGTAAGAACCACTAACTGTGATAAAACATTTGGTCGATTAGATGAAGAAGAAGGGGTTATACTTGAAGTTCCCCAGTATTTGCTCTTAAAATTGAATGACTTTTGATCGTCAAATTCAATCAAAAGAAGAGGTCTTTTATAATAACGAGTCATAACTTCTGTTTGTGTATAAAGTCTACCGTTATTTAATGAACCGATTAAATCATTTACTGATTTACGTTCAACGCAAGTGTCGGGAGTAAGGATATAATCGCCGATTTCAATAGTGATCGGTTCGATATCAATCCCTCTTTTGTGTATAAGTGTCGGTAAATCTGATCTAAATTCTCTCATATCTATAATAATCCGTTTTGTAGTTTTATTTTGTGAAACTGGTTGAGTGCCTCCTATTCGGGTATTTGGATGTCAATATTAAGCTGTCATCAGAGCCGCGGACTAAATCTGGATGTGAATCACTTTTTCCGTCCCTATCTGAAGGTATCACAAGTGATGCTTTTGTTTTGATTAATGTTTCAAAGGCTTCCTTTTCTATGTGTAAATTCTTAAGATATCGTTGCTCTTCAGCTGATCCATCAAACATAAAAAAGTATATCTTAACGGCTGAAGAACTACAATATAATGCTTGATATGACTCTATTTGACGAATACTTTGCATATCTGGTTCGTATAATATAATATATTTTGGTTTCAAAACTTTTAACATATTATGCAAATGAATGCCTTTTTGTTGCCAATTATGATAATGAAAGTCAAGTCTGTGTTCATTTTGAAACATTTCCTCACATTTCTCATAACTTCTCATCATTTGTGTCAATGTCTGTGCGTTTTCATCCAATTCTTGTGTCTTATTATTGGTTTTCTTTGATTTGTTTTTCATCTGTTCCTTACAATTCATTAAATGTTGACATTTTTCATGTAATTCTTGTAGTACTGCATCCATACCTTTATCTCTAAAATTGTCTAATTTGATAGAAGTACTCATATTTTCGACGACAACAATAATATCGATAACTTGTGATATATCTTTGGTCTCTTCATTAATTTCTTTTATTATTTCAAAAAATGCATTTAATTTTGGATTGATTTCAATGTCGACAACTTGTTTGCCATTCTTTTGTATATAAAGTCTTTGTTTTGCAACCGAAAACAATGTCTCCGATGGCTCCCAAAAGAGCCAATCGGATGTCTGCGAATTGAGGACAACATTATCACGAATGGTCTTAACTTCACTATAAAAAGTGACGGAATCGAGTTGTGTTAAGTGAAACAACAATTGTTTTAATAGTTTTATATCATATATAGTCCGACGACACTTAGCACTCAATTGATACCAAATGGGATCAAATTGTTTTCTAACCATTGAATCAAAATTTAATGAAATAACAGACATAGCATTAAGTTCTTGACAATCGTAAAGAAAACTGTTATTAGAATTTGTTAACTCTTTAATACACAACGAAATTAAGTCCATTAATGCAAATTGAATTTTCTTCATCAATGGTGTCATTGAGAGTCTGATCTCAATGACGTTTGGTAGGGGTCGGGTCGACAGTGAGTCAGTAATGGCCACATGAAATCGCGGCCATAAATATAGTTTAGTGACAAACAAGTAGCGCATAATTCGGTCTAATTTAGAGAATTGTCCGGTAAATGCCTGAGCCGTCTGTGAAAGTCCGGTCACAAAACCTGTCTTATTATGCATCCGATAGAGTCGTACAATGAATGCCTGCAAACAATCCGTATAAATAGTGTGAGCGTTGTATACAATAACACCAGAAATCAACTCAAATGGTACTCTTGAGGTCAACATATCGACCACAAGAATCCGTGTCGTCATGAATACGACGCCTCCATTCATATAGAGTTCGCGACGATCAGCGGCCGCACAGCTCTCGGCTGTTACTCGTTTGGGCTTTTGTCCGACACCTGACAATTCATTGGACAACTCGGCAATGATATAGTCTTCAACTTCAGCATTGGTTCCGATGACAAACACGAGCTGTGATTTCTCTGAAAATGTTTTCGTTAATTGTAACAGAAGTCTATCGATTACAATGCCCTTCGAGGCGATGGTCAATGAGTTTTCGTTGAGTACATCCAATAGCATCTGACGCTCAAACTCAAGAAGTCTTTGTTCATCACTCATTGTGTCCAATGTCTTGTCATTTGAATCCAAAACACATGTCTTGTTTGATATCTGTTTGACTATTGTTTTGATTTTCAAGTTCACAAACAAATCAATACTAATAATAAACTGAAAATATATTATGTTTTCAAAACTAATGTCATAAAAATACACAAATATTTGTAAAGGGGTTTAAATATACATAAATATATGTCACGTTATTTATGACCATTGAATGCACTTTAATATTGCAATGCATTTATTGTTTACTTGAATGATATTACGGTTATATTAATACTGTATAACAAACAAACACACAATTAATACACACTATTAATACTATTATCTAATTATATGTTATTTTCAATAATGAAATGCATTTAAATTTTGATTAATTAACAAATTGATTGCATAACAGTTGAGATTACAATTAGTTTGCAATCAATGAGGAGTTGTTATTGTCTTTAATGATTGACATCAAACAACTGATGACTTTAATATAAAATTATCACTTTATTTGCATTCATATATCACTGTTATAAGTGGTGACAACTCTTGAGAACAGATAGTATGGACAATGACACCGATGATGGCCAAGAGGTCTGTCAAATGACTAAACAAAAGAAGAGGCTTTTGGTATGTGATTATCACTTAATTTGATACAAAAATATAATATTTTATTTGTTAAACCAATTGTTTGATTGTCTGACTATTTATTTTGATTAAGAAAATTGTGGGCAAACTATATAAAGTCGATTTGACTGAACTCTGCGATAAGTTTAGTGTCTGTAAGAGTGGTAATAAAGTGGTGATAAGGAATCGGATCATTGATCTCATTAATGAAGAATCGAAATCACAAAATGACAATAAATGGATTGATATCAGAAAAAACGTTAAAAAAGTCTATAAAAATAATGATAAAATTAAGAAATCTCCCAAAAAATGTAAGCAATTTTTTTAAATTTATTTGACTTCAAGTGATATGACATTTAATTAATAAAATGACAGCAAAGAAGAAAAAGAAGAAGATTGTCAGTGAAACGCCATCCAAAAGTCAGAGTAATACCGAAACTGTTGTTAACAATGAGGTGAGCGATAGGAGTCAACCGCTGAGGCTTAAGATTAAGACATCAACTACTCATTACTTCAATGATAATGAGACTAATAATTTGGATTTTAATTCATTATTGAATTTCTTCTCCAATATCAACGACTCGTACCAGAACTCAAATTCACAGACAACGCACACAATGTCATCCACTCAACAGTCGTCTTCACAAAACAATAGTACACCAAATGCAACGATTACTTCTCAGAATCCAGTGGTCAACCCATTTCCAGCTCATCAACCCGTCAATGGTATTCAAATGTATAGTCAACCAAATTATCCTAATATACCAACAAATTTAGGAATTCCGTCAACATCTCACACCATAAATGGATATTCAACACATCCATTAATAATGGCGCCTCAGCCTCCATTACAATCACAACCATTGATTTGTCCACCACTGAGACCGCCACCATTAGTGCCACCCTCACAAATGGTTAGCCATAACTATTATAACTCACAAAATCCACATAACAATCATTTTCATCCAAACTTCTCATCTCAGCCATTAAATTATTCATTTAATAATATCGATAATAATAATATATATCATGGTTTTAGTGGACCAACCAATAGCACCCAATGTCAACAAAATAATGAAACAAATTATCCTAATTTTGATTCAGAATTTGCAAATCCGCAAAGTTTCGATGCACTTATTAAACAACAAAAAATATTATTTGATCAATTTTCCACTTCCAAACAGGAAATGGATGTCAACAATATCAACGGTGAAACAACCGATTCATATGACTTACCCGAGCAATCATTAATGAATTTTGAATTCAAATGTTTGCCTAAGTTTAATGTCATTAAAAATATTTTGGAACCAAAAACTATTGGTTTGTTTGATTTGATTTACAACTAACTTATTTGATATCATTTTTATTAAATATTATATTTTAGGATCGCTTTCAGATATTGGTGTTACTGTTGAGTTCAAAATAGATTTATGTGACGTGCAGTCAAACAATATGTTTATTAGGCATAATAGTTATGAAAATGATTTACAAAAACTGTTAACAAATAATTGCTATCAAATTCAATTGAGATTCAGTTATATTAATGACATTAATACAAGACAACAGAAGGATGTCGTTCCTGAGTATCTCTGTATTGAATGCAATAATAAACTGATTTTTGCTTCCGATCAGGTTTGCCACCATTTTTGCCACCATTTTTGACTTACYGTAATGTAATTCTTGTTATTTKTTAAATTAATGACTTCTATTCAAATTGTAGGTTAAGGAGCAATATATTTGTCCAATTAATTTGAGTGATGATTGTATTATTGGAACCAATAGAGTGAGATTCTGGATGTCTAAAGAAAAATATACTTTTCTTATGCCCTGTTTATATGAGATATCTCTTGTAAAATATGAAACGCCTGAAACCTTTCTGGCAAAGCTTAAAGCAAATCCATCACAATTTCTCATTTCTGATATCACTAAACAATTGAGTAATTATTTTAATTTATAGATTATTTAGATTTTATAGTTTATCGTTTGATTTTGATTTTGTTATGTTTAAAGTTAAATCAAGACATGAAAGTCAATCACAAGACGATATAATCATTAATATAGCCAACACCTCAACTAAAGTCAAACTCATTTGTCCTGTAAGTACAGTCCGTATTATCGGTAATTTATATATATATATATATATTAAAATTAATATTGATTTTAACTTAACAGCTAAGTTGTTGTAGATTAGAGACTCCGTGTCGGACTAATAATTGTAAACATATTGAATGTTTCGACGCGTTTTCATTTTTTAAAGCCAACGAATACCGATACGATTGGATTTGTCCGATCTGTCAAAAAGAAGCCAATTTTGACTCTCTTAGAGTTGACGGGTATTTATTGACATTTTTTATAAGAATAATATAACTTTTATTTATTATAATTATTTGTATTTAATATTTAGTTTCTTTACCGATGTTTTATACCACACCGATAATGACATTACAGAGATATTTGTCAAATCAAACGCAACTTATGATATTCAAAATGGTTTGCTTTAATTATAATATAGTAAATAACGAATTGAGATAAAAATATATTTAAAAAATTATAGTTACGGCTAAATGTGATTCACCGCTAATTATTGAATTAGATGACGAAGAAGACACCTGTGATTTCAGTGTTGTTGAAGACGCGGACGGATGTATTGTTATTGATTAATGATTTTATTAATTATTTTGTTAAGTAATTTCGATATAAAGTATATATAATATTTACAGATTTTATATATAATAAATTGTATCAATTTTTAAACTATAAATAAATTTATTTTTGATTATTATCACATTTATTATTAACTATGGTAAATGTATGAAAATCATAATTGAAATAAATTAAATGTCAATTATTCATATAATACATCGATAATTATGAGAAATGTATAAATTCTATTTTTTAAAACAAATTTACAAACAATTATCATATTTTAATAAATCATAACAATTAATATATTGATTGACAACTTTGTTAATCACAACTTTGATTCGTTGGTTCGCTTTTAACTCTAATGTTTCGTATACTTTGTTGTACTTCAATTGGTTTGCGCCAAACCTCTTGTGGATCACAGAACTCAAGTAATCCATTATCAACAAAGTCTTGGAAAACGTGTCGATCGGGTTTAGTGTGATCGTCGGCACAACTCAAGTATAGATCAATTTTGAGAGGATATTTGTCAGACTATTTTAATAATATTCAAATATATTAATATAATTAATATAATTAATACTTGTAATGCATAACAAATTGTTAACTGTATTTAAAAAAATTATATATTTTTAAACAAACCTTAAATCTGGCTAAAAGTCTTTGATCGCTACAGAGATTATTCACATATTGAGCGATCTTATCGAATAAGTCTTTACTTTTAGACCACAACCGATTGCGGGCGGGTTTCACGTTATAATACTCACAGAATATAGCGTGTGATCGCGGGTGAAGAAATTCGGGTTGTATTACTTTTAACCTATAGGTCATCAATATAGGTAATGTCCAACAATATACTCAACTACATTACAACTACTCACTTATTTATTGAAACCTTTTCGCTGTTTCCATAATCGACAAAATAAATATTGGCCACTCCTGAGTCTACATTGGTATCAACATTAAGTATAAGCCCTCTATACCATTGATGATCGTAATCATATTCAGCGACACAGGTTTGTCCTAACATATAAATATAGAAAAAGTAAAACAAAATTATATTTAAAAAATGATAAAAACATAAGCAAACCTTCAGCGAGTCGTGGAAGTGGTAAAAAGTGTTTCACTTTATTTCTTAATTTGCTTAACATTGAAATGAATGCTTTGTGTTCTTTATTAATGACTATTTCGTTATCAGTCGGATCATCAATAGCATCGACATTAAAAAATACATGCTTTCCCGCCAATGAGTGTGATATAACCACTTGATAAAAACGATTGGTTTCAAAAACAATTGGGTATAAGCCGTATGTTGAATGTATGAGACCTTCTATATTAAGTATAGTCTCGACTTCTTCGTCCAGATCTTCCTCTCTATCGGCAACCAAAAGACCTTTATTTTCTAATATCCTAATTAACGGAACATATAATCCATTTTCTATAATATCAATACTAACTTTCATTGGACTTTGTGTGGGAAAGTTCTGTTGAATAAAAAATATATRTCAATAAAACAAACTACAGTTACTGATGGCACTGACCTCCCAATGAAAGCGACATTTATGGTCTAATACTTTAGCGTAGATAATATTTCTGATTTCTATATCGGCCTCTTCATTAACCGGTTGGATATTAATAATATGGCATCGAATGGCCAGTTTTGGAACTTCTCGGCCAAATACATCTGAACTAATTTTGTCAATAATGGTTTGCTCTTCATTACCGTAATCAACATAACGTATAACCAGTTTAGATATATCGTCAGTTTCGGTGACGCCTACAATTTCTGCCCGATTCCATGTCTTATCGTATTCAAAATATGCTGTACAAGCGTTTCCTTTAATTAGTTCACCGATAAATGGCCCGAATTCTCCCGCATCAGTAAGTTTTGCCTGAATCTTGTCTTCAATATTGATAAGCGGCTGTTTTGGCATATTTTCATAGAATTGTCGAAATGATATATCGAAAGACTTATTGGCAACAAATTCACAGGCAATCGCTATTAATAATATTAATACAAACAAAATTAKCACAATTTATAATTATTATATACTATATATATAAATACCATAAAATGTTTTAGTTTTAGGATAAATAGGTTCAATATATTTGATACATGACTCGATTTTTACTGGTTTTATTGATTTTGATCTTTGCATTAGATCTTTAAGAACACTTCCTTCCGATTCAAAGTACGATTGAGGCATTTCGGGTCTCACTTCTCGCATCATTTCGGTATTAATATCGGTATCGTCATCGCTATCAACCACTCCATTGCTACTATAATTAGTATCTTTTAGTGCCAATCCTTTTTCAATAAGGAATGTACTGACACTGGTATAGATAACTTGTTGTTTGCCGAAAGCACTGGGAATTGTTGTCTCTTTAGAATAGAGTTTCACACGAATAGGTTCGCTGTCAATAATTTTCTCTTTAACTAAAATATACATATTTTTATGATTCTTCGAAAGAAACTCTTTCATGTCATCAATGGCAGTGTGCGACCAGTTGTCACCGCCCGTCGGCTTTAATCCAAACACACAATTCATAGCAAATGCACCATCTTTTGTATAAACATTGGACAGCGGAAGCATTTGAGAAACTGGTATATCATGTTTAGTGCCACAATCGACTGCTAATACCATAAATCTGGGCACTTGTGATGTACTGTCGATAGAGTTTAGAACTTTACCTCTTTTCCAACTGCCCTCTACTTTAATAGCACACCAATCATTAGGATTGAACCCGACTTCACCAAAAAACTCTTTATTTTTGTAATCGTCAACTAAAGCTCTTTCTTGAGTTTCAAAATATTCATTCACTTCTTTTTTATCGATTTGAACGTATATTTCATTTGGGTTTTCAATAGACGTCACTTTAACTTTAATAAGTGACGACCGTTTATCTGAATCRGAGCGCACGTGTCGATCAACTAAATCTCTGCAAATTTTAAGAGCTGATGCTCCCAATGGAAGAGAAATTTCTGATTCTTCACTAATAGAAGTAGAACTTCGCGTCGAAAGAAGTGATTCTTGAGATGAATTCAATGATCTTTGAATATCACATAAAGAATGATCTCCAGTGCTGTGGGCCTTCTTCTTCAGAACCATTAACTCATTGATCTTGGCCTCAGCGCCGCCATTATAACTTCTGAGCACAACATTGACTTTATTTTGGTAAACGCTATAAGTGTCGCTAAAATTGTCCAATTCGTATGTAGTCATCGCAAGTATCAATGCTTTTCCCGAACCTTTAGTGGTTGAGTTGTTAAAAAACTGGATCGCCTAATGACAATAAAAATTATATTAAAATATTTACATTATATATATATATATATATCTGAATAGTATGAAATGTCAACTCACATCTTCAGTCCATTTGTTATTTAAAACCGGTTTTACGTGAATCAGACCACAAGGTATGGCTAGAATAGGAGTCGTTAAAAATTCATCTCTCAATAGACGAAGATATGATTGTTTGACAGCAATAGCATAGCCGTAATCGACTAATTGGACCACATATTCATTTGATGGCTGATCTATTTTAATAATATTTCCCCTATAGTATTGAAGCTGCCACTGGATATTACGGCCGTTACAACCCGACTCTCCCTCACATATTACAGCACATGGAGTGTTAATTCTGGGACAATAATATGTATAAATACCAGCGTTTGAATCATTATATGTCTCATTCATTTGTTTCATAAGCAAAACTAAATCATCAAATTGTCTCTGGAGTTGAACATAGAAAAGATCCGGAGTCTCGACATGTGATACCATAACTGATACAGTTTTAATTCCTTTCGGTATATCTGGTTGTTTATACTTTATTAGCTGATTCTTATGGCGACAATATGTATTGAAATCGAAATAATTAGTCATTTCRGCAAATTTTAAATTAACTAATACTTGAATAGCAGACGGAATTTTATAACTAACATTTGGCACATCATAATGAATTAAGTCAACCAATTTGTATTCATTTTTCATTTCAAACTCATAAAGTGTTAATTGATTGCCAGTCACATACAGTTTGAACACTTCAAGTGCTTTTTCTGACCAATTATAAGATTTTTTACGACTATCTTCCAGTGTTTTAGGTTTGATACTATAAAGGCAACACTTGTAGGCAAACGGCAAATATTTCTTGGTGTCAAAATCAATCTTCTTCTCTCTTACGTTATACCAATGAATCGTCTCATTTAATCCATAATCCAGAAGAAAAATATCAGCCAAATGTTCTCCACTTTGATTAGTGCCCTCTCGGAAGTGTATGAGTCTTCCTCTACACCAACACTTCTTAGATGATGAATAAGCCAACAATTCATCTCCAGTAGGATATGTGCCAATGGCTGGCGCGTGATTATAGGGAGACTTACAAATGTTTTGAATCATTTGATTCATTAAACCAAATCTCTCTTTATCGGCCACTTTCTGTACATAAAACTTATGCGGACTCTCAACGTATATCACATTAACCACTTGTCTATTCATTGTATCGTCATTTGATTCCGATTGRTCCATAACTTCAACAATTTCAGTTATGTCTTCCTCGTCACCTCCACCTCCTACTCCCGATGTTTGTTCCATTGGTTCGCTTTTAACTGGTGTATCGTTATTAACTTGTTTCTGAAATTTGCCAAACTTTTTGAGTTGATCCTCAATATTAGTATCAAAAGTCAATTTAAAGTCATTCTGTGCCAAACCAATGGTTGTTCCGCTCGAGTCTCTAACCAATTGGTTAATTAAATTTTGCAATTTATTTCTCTCGTTATCGGTGTAGACCTGAATACTTTGTAATAGTTTGCCCTTTAATTCAGATCTTTTGCTTAGTATTTCAGTAGTAGAGGCGTGAAGTTCCCGTCTTCGAGCCAATTCCATGGCCATCATCTCATCCAAGAGCTCTTTTTCACGCATTTGAAGCAACGAATGCAATGAATGAAACAGTTGTCTGACATCTTTCCTAATTTTGTTGAACCATTCGGTCGTATTGTCCATATTTCGTTGAGTTTCAAAATGAACGGCCGATAAATCGGTAAAAGTTTTGACACCATTTTCAATACATTTCTGGAAATTAATGGGTGCTGTCTTCGGCACTCGGGATAGTATATTACTGATTGTTGTATCGTCTTCTTGAAGACTATTGATTATCGGTCGCAGAGTTGCAGCTGACTGTTGAACAGTAGACTCATCGTCTAAATCCAAGTCAATCATTTCGGCCGTCTTTGAAGCCGTAATGACACCCGAATCGATTGCGGCTCCGATTTGATAGAAATCAATGGGAAACATACCGTTAGTCTCAAAGAGTAACACCTGTGCGCCGACAGCCGACGGATCCAACCATTTACGCATTTCCGACTCATTTTGAATGACATATTGACGGACATCCGGACTGATGGTTGTGATGAACGTACAGACAATACATTTGATAAACTCTTTGTTTTGATGACAGATCTCAACAATACATAACTCGCAAACAGAGTGACCGCAAACCAACAGTCTTTGCGGAATAAATGGYTCGCCTTTTGATAACTGACTGGCCGTCAACTTTCGGGCCACACAATCGTTGGCCAAACTGCACGTATATTGCTTTGACATCACGCTATCGGTGATACAAATGGCCACTAATATGACTAAATAATTGACACAAATATAGTTATGTTTTATTATTATTATTATTATTATTATTATTATTATTGTGTATCAAATAAAACACACATTTTTTTCAAATCAATTTTAATGATTACGCAAATGTTTCAAATATGGATATAAATTACGTCATATATTATTAGTAATAATTGTATTAAATTGAAGTACAATTTGTGTGACGTTTATTATACACATATAAAGTAATATTGAAAGTTTTGTGTGAATCATAAAGTGTCCATGCACAATTGCATTTATTATATTATATACATTATATACATAGTATACATATATAGATTAAATTTATTTTATATGAATTAGTTTAGAAAATTTAAAACTTTAAAATATTTTTCGGTTCCGGTTTTTACTGTTTTTTTTTTGCTGAAACTGAAAACGGTTTGTGTCTCAACTCTAAGTCATTGTAAGTGTTCTACAGTACTGTTAGTACTGAACGATAAAATGTATTGACAAACAAATCACGTGTTTATTACGTTATTTAAGTTTAAAGTTTTAACGATTACTACATATGTATTAAAAGTCAAATAAATTTAATGATAATTAAAAAATTATTGATATTTTGAATATAATGTGAAGTATGCGATGGTTGGCCTCAATAGCGATCGGTTTGAACAGCTGTCGGATAACAACAGATTAAAACAAGAGCTGTTGTGCGGTATTTGTCACGAAGTCATCGATAATGCCATTCAAACCCAATGCAAACATGACTTCTGTAACGACTGTCTCAAGACTTGGCTGATGTCAAACAATGACCGCAAAGAGTGTCCCGAATGTAGACAAACACTGACATCAAGAAAACGAAAGAGATCTGCGGTTAATAGTAATGACATACAAATTGTGGCCAACGTTTGGGTGGAGAAAAATCGCAAACTTAATAACATAATCGGCTCTTTGAATATCACATGCGATTATCACTGGAATGGATGTAATCAARTGATACCATTGGAATCATTGAATTCACATTTGAATGAATGTCAGTACAAGTTATGTCAAAGTTGTGGATTCAATGCTGGCCAGAGTCGGGACGAACACAATTGTATTGAATTATTAAAGAATGAAATCAATGAAATGTTAAACAAATATAAGACAATAACTTCAGAAAAGATTAAAATCGAAAAACAATTTGAAAATTACAAGAATGAGTCAAATCAAAGGATTCAGAAAATTGATAACAAATTTAAAGAAGTGGTTACTATATGTCAGACATTTTATCACAAGTTTAACGAACAAAAACAGCTAAAGAAAAATATGGAAAAAACATCTAAAAGTTTATCACCAGAAGGATGTGTTGACTTAAAACCAATTAATGATAGCAATTGTTGTATCATTTGTGACCAAACTAATGATCAACAACTGATTGCTTGTTGTAATAAAGATTGTGTAATGAATTTGTTTAATACATTTGAAACATATATAGAAATTATCATTAATACTATTAATATTTTAATATACAGTAGATAAATGATATCAATTGAAAACAATGATATATTTGTTAATTTCTCATTGAAATATTTTATTCATATCAAACAGGTCACCAAATTTCACATTTCTTGTTTAGGATTAGATGTTAAATCGGATGACTTTAAATGTCCCAATTGTATGACAAATTCAAATAACAGGTGACTATAAATGTTTTAGTATTCATTTTTATATAATATTTAGTCAAATGATAACCTTTAGGTCAAATGCTACTTCTGGTAATCAATCAGAAGATATAAACATTGATTGCGTTGTGAAACTTGAAGTTATAATGTTTGGCACTTTTAGGGCCGTCGGAAAAGCTGTTGAAATTAGTGTAAACGGAATTAAATTGATTAATATCATTGCAAATGCAAATTCAAAATTTAATTATAATATAACGTTTCCGTACCAAGAGATACAACAGATTATGTATAATAACGATCCGTCGCTATCTTTATTGGTGTTATTGGTTTGCGAAAATCCCAATCAAAAGGTTAATATGCTTTTGCCGTCATTGAAATTTACCGGTGAAGAATATCGCAACTCTGGTTTCATATTTAATACCAAATCTAATGGTTTGCTTCATATAAATTTTCATTCATAAAAATTCATATTTACATTACTCTATTGTTTTTTATTACCTAATATATTAGACACAAGAGAAAGATATATAATACTAAAGTTAACCCAAAGATTAAGCGATAAATTTATTAATTTATTGAAGCAAACGGTACAACAAGAGGGTGACTGTGTTTGTGTGCCCATCACTAATGAAATTAAACAACTTTTTAATCATAATTGATTATAAATTTTTTATTACCACAAGTTTTTTTGTGTTACATATATCACAAATAGTTTATTCTGAGTTATTAATAAAAGTCATTTAAAAATAATATCAGATTTATATTTTATTTACAAAATTTGATATAAATTTAACTTATTATAATACTGTACACAATCTACACTAACTTTATATTATAAAGAAAATGTTAATTTTACGCTAAATCATAGTTACAATGTATTGAAAATTATTAAATAATTGATTATACAGTATTTATAACTCAAAACGAGTATAAAAGAGTAATTTTTTCATGTTTTATAAGAGTGTATTGATTTTTTTATCTATAATAAAACTTATATACATTTTAATAATTAACAATTTAATGAATACAATTGTGTAAAATATGTTAATTTATAGAAACAAATAAAACTTAAACATTATTGTAATATACGGTAGTATTGTAACAGTTATGATAATCACAATATACTGATTGATATAAACATGACACGCATGGCATTCAAATGTTATGTGAAAGTAGTAATGCAAACAAAAATATTGTTTTCAATTCAAATGACTTTAGTGTATGCAATGAATGACTTAACCCAACAAATAGGTGTGTCCTCCCAGTCCTAGACTGCCATTCATTACAATTTTATACATACCTGTGCTTTCATAAACATACCGAACATTTCAATCGCACAAATGATTTAATATTTTTCAAATTATTTTTTTTATAATAAATTAATAATATTTTATTAATTTAGTGATGAAGTCTTGAATCTAATATTTTAATCATTAAATCAATTGTCTGTCCGTTTAATTGCCATTTAGTCCGTAGAAGTGATGTCTTCAACGAACAACTTTGTGTGTCAGTGGGTGTTGCCATCGTTTTTGTTGATTGTCATCACACATGTCATCAATGGTCAGTTCAATTGGCAGACCAGAGATTCTTTTGATGAGATCCGCAAACAGTTGGACAAAGTTGTTGAAGACAATTGTAAAGTAGTTGATATAAATGAATTGTTTTTACCGCAATCGTCGGTCACACACATTCCTGACCTGAAATGGCTGGGCATTGACCCGATATTCGCCAACCGAACCAATTTATTACACATCCATAATATGGCCCTAAGCCGTGCTTTTTATCTTAGGTATGATTTTGTCACTAATTATTTTATATTTGTTATAATTTTTTTAAAAATTGATTTTAATGTCTAAATCAATCATTTTCTTTGTTCAGTTATATTCTCCAGAAAGCACCGGACGATTCAGAACCTGGTTTTATGTATTACTTTTTGTCGTCAATCGCCGACGTGGCGGCCAATCGCTACATAAACGCCAGTAGTATATATTATGGGCCAAACATGGCATTCACGCCATCATATAAGGGGTTTTTCAACAAAACGATGCCTTTGTTCGCTCCGCGAGCTTTCCGTGCGGACGACTTCAATGATCCCTACCATCTTCAGGGAACGTCTACATTGAATACCATAGAAGCCATTGATTTGGGCGCAATTCAGAACAACTCATTTAGCACTAACTACACACACGAACAATACAAGATCAATGAATGGTACAAATTATGGTTACCTGATCTCACTAAAAGACACGACTCGAAAACCACTTACACCGTTCAAATAACACACATAAACGGTACTAACGAAACATTTGTATGGCACGGACCACCCGCCGCATCCGACATTCCCGGACCAGTTAAATGGTTTAAACCTTACTTTGATTGTGATCGATCCAATAAATGGGTTTATGGAGCATCGGTTCCCATTCCTGATATATTTCCTCGACATACTGGTTGGCGACATATCGAAATACCAATGTTTGTAACTAATTTTATTAATAAAATTTATATTTATTTTAAAAATTTTGTTTGATTTTGTTTATAGAAATGTTGCGGTCGCTGTCATGGAAATAGATTTTGAAAGAATAGACATAAATCAGTGTCCCATCGGTGAGGGCAATCCGGCTCCCAATTATTTTGCTGGTACTGCCCGATGCAAAAACGCAACCACAGAGTGTGAACCCATTCACGGATATGGTTTTAGACGCGGAGGTTATCAATGTAGATGTAGACCAGGTTTTCGGTTACCAAAAGTGGTCAGAAGTCCTTATTTGGGAGAATTGATTGAAAGGGCGACAAATTCTGAATACAATCGGGGATATAATTGTGATAAAATTGGTTATATTGCGGTCAGAACTCAAAATGTTGTGCCAATTGAAGAATACGAAAGACTGAAATATATCGCACGTATGGAAACTTTGACAGGTCTTCATTCAAACTCGAATTTCAGTAATAGAGTTGATCCCAATTGGATTACTAATTATGTACGAAGAGAATTAAATTCTCAGAACTGCCACCGATTGTCTGCCAAAAATCCAGAGATATTGACATTAAGAGGAGATACTTCTTATGGCAAAGAAGAACAACTTGAAAATCAGGCGCGAATGGCATTACGTTTGGCTAATTTTATTTCGGCGTTTCTTCAAGTTGTTGATCCTAAAGAACAATTTGCCGAATTTCGTGTTCCCGATAAACCTTTGACTACGGATCAGATAATTGGTGAAGCATTGGCCACAGTTATCGGCGACAGACGGTTACAGGGATGCGGTGTTTATTTTGATAGAAACCAATTTAACCAAAATTTAACACATTTTGCTCCGTATGCCTATCGAAAGGAACGCAATGCGAGAAAGTTTTTTGTTGACGATATGTCCCGATTTGGTCCCAATTCTAAATTGTTTTACTTAAATCACGATTATTATAAACTATTGAAAATGCGTTGGGCTTCCAATACGGATGATTTGGCCACATATACCACCAAAATTAATGTCCGTTACAATAGTACTGGTCTTTATGGCATTCGCTATGACCACTATCCTCTCCAATACAAAGCAGCTGAACTAAAACATGGTCACTGGACATCACCATATTTTGATTGCGGAGGATTTCATAACCAATGGATTATGACATACTCGGCACCATTTTTTGGTTGGGATAAGATTAAGTCRCGACTCGAGTTTAAGGGTGTTGTCGCCGTCAGTATTAAACTCGAAGAACTAGATATTAATCAATGCGGCGATAATTATTACGTGCCGAACGCCTTTAAAAATACACATAAATGTGACCGACTGTCCTCTCGGTGCGTACCTATACTGGGTCGACGATTCGAAGCTGGAGGCTATAAGTGTGAGTGTGAACAGGGATACGAATATCCATTTAACGATCCCATCACATATTTTGATGGCCAAATACTTGAGGCCGAGTATCTTAATATGTTAGAGCGTCATCCCTCACGGTTCGACACATTGGCCTGTCGTGTGGCAGTCGGCAGCTTAACCAGTCATCCCTGGAATGTCTTTACTATTTTGCTCATTACAAGTGTTGTAATTCTGGTGAATCTCTCTCTAAGTCCAATGTTGTTATAAACAGATTTTAATATAAATATATATATAAAAATAATTTTGTGAATTATTTATACTAAATGAACAAAAATCATACAAATTTACAATAACAACAATAATTAATTATTGACTGAAAAATCATTGTCCATCCAAATAACTAACATAACTAATTAATTGATTATAATATTATAAAACAATTTAAACATAGTTTACAGTAYATTAGTTCTTAAATATTTTAAACACATTTTGTTGTTTATATATTTTTTTRTATCTGTTTTTGAAAAATTTTATTTACAATTTATATTTTAAACTTTGTTTTATAATTATTTTTGAGTTTATAGATTAGATTTAAAAAAATTATTGGTTAAGGCATTTATATTTTTATTTATTGAAAAAATGTCTAAAATTTGAGTGCATTTCTTGTTATACGTCTATGAAATGATAAGACTTTACTTTTAATTGATTATTTCAGTCAATGATATGTCTGTCCAAAGAGCGATCCGACCGATCAAACAGATCCCAAATACCTATTGTTTATTGACTTATTATTAAATGATTTAAAAAGTTATAGTGTTTTGAGATAATTCATATTTTTGTTATCATACATATTGTTGCACAACAACACAAATCTCACAAATTGTATATATAATTAAATAATGTTTATATTAATATAAAATATTTACTTATAGTTTTAATTGATTGACACATGAGTTCATCCATTTATTCACCAAAATTTTATTTTTGCAATTATTTTTTATTTGTTTTTAAATTTTTATTTTTCTTAATTAGAAAAATTTGTAATATTTTCGTGCAATTTTTAATGATTTTCTTTTTATTAAAATCCTATTCATACATACAGTGTATTTATAAATGTAATAAATTATTGCTTATCCAGTGTTGAAAAGGCATGAAATGTAATATTTTATATTTTTAATATGATCTACATTTTTATTTTATATTCTGTATATGAATAGTATTTTAATAATTTATTTTGTATCTCAATTTAATTTTAATCAACTAATTTTTGCACTAATATAATTGTGTTAAATTTATTATAACAATATTTAAGCTATAAATATACATTAAATTTATTTGTAAATTATTGAATGATTTTGTTTATTATCAAATTGCTAAATATGTTTGTTTGAAAACATGTTTTATTATTAAATATTTTGTTTAATTGTCTGATCAAATGTTTTTATAATTACTTACAAAATCAAATTTGTTACCCAAACTATTGTTCATATATGTAATATTGTACTATTGATTATATTTTAAATTTATACAAAATTCAATTATATATTAATAATTATTCCGACCAGTTATCTGTTTGTGTGATTTATTTGATGATAAATGTTACTAATTTTAATCAAATTTTGAATCAATTATTAGCTAATAGACATTTTTGTGAACAACGAATCAAATTTATAAATAATAATAAAAAAATAAAAAAGAATTTTAACTATTTTTACTTAAAATATTTTAACAACAAAAAGCATTTATAGACTATAAARTGCATAGAAAATAGCCCCCAATGGGAATCGGCTTATGATGTGATCGCAAGTTTTTTTAGATATTATAGAATTTTATTTAAATAATATATTATAGAACTCATCAAAATAAAGCTAAATTTATCCAAAAAATAAATAAATACAATTATTGAGATAAYTGAATCTATTTAAAAATAATAATATCATTCAACATTGATTTGTTATTATCATTAAAAATATAAATTAATTTGGTTTGATTTTTTAAAACCTTTAAAATTTAAGTACACAATTAACGTATTTGAAGAAATCTTTATATATTATGTTTTTAATATTAAAAATTAGAAAATTAGATAATTTTGGCTAAAATTAATGAAAATTATTCAAAAACTTCATTAATTATACAACAAAATTAATCTTCAAAAGTTCACTAGTTTTGTGATCAAAATATCAAATATTTTCATTAATTGGCATTTCATGGATTTGATTATGAGATATTAACTCAACAAAACAAATGCCAGATTATTAAACTTGATATTCATGAAAGATTTTTTAGTTGTTTTTAATATTTTAACTATTTTTTGTATTAATAAGTTTTAAYTTTTATATACAAATCTGATATTTAATGAGTTATCATATTAATAATAATATAATATAATAATAATGTATAGTATAAACAGTATCTTATAAGCTATTTATTTTATTTTTTCTTCAATATATATATATTGTTTTTATGTTTGTTATTTATAAAATTGTTTTTTATGGAATAATTCAAAATCAATGTTTCATTACATTTTATTTTAAAACTATTAAATTTATTTGTTTTTGTTTGTTTATTTTTATTTCGAGTATACTTTATTTATTTATATTTTCAATTGAAATTGATTGAAGATTTTATTTTTTAAAGCATTATAAAAATTAAGATCATGTATTATAATGATAACCATAATCATAAAATTTTATAACATATAAAAACTAAACAAATACATAAACAAAAAGGTAAACCGGAAAAAGTTTTATATAAAACAAGAATATAATGTATTTATAAAAACAATTTTTAACTTTTAAAAAACATTTTATATCTTTAAATAAGTTTTATAATTGAATATCAAAATARAATTATAAACAAAACTTTTGTTGTATTTTAAATGTTTACTTAAATTGAAGTATAAAAACTAAAAGTGTATCTTTTATTTGTATCAAATAATAAAAATTTTATTTTCAAGTGTAACTGTGAAATGCTTAACAAACACTCCTCTTTGCAGTTAAACATGTTATATAATAGTAAGTAAAGCTTTTTAAATTATTTGAAAAAAATATTTTGAATGTTTATACGTTTTTTAAAGTTGTAGACAAAGTTAGTAAAAATATTGCAAAATATAATCAATCATTTGATTTGATTTCACTAACAGTAAGTTTGGCTCTTATATCCATTTGAAATATCATTTGCAATAAACTTTCAAAAATATAATAAATCGAGCGCTTAGTTGTCTATTAAGTATAAAGAATAACTAAATAGGACTGATATTCTCAAACTCCCTGAGCTTATCTATTAATTTTTCTATACAAGAAATTTATACTGATTTTTATTCATATGATATGTCATTGTTAGTTACGCTATTATATATAACAAAATATATGACATATAGTTTTAAATACATTTGATGTATTACAGTATAATCTTAATTTCTTATACTTTATATACAATTTTTTATCTTATAATAAGTTACTTTTGTTTCATTGAATTATATTATAAAATAATAATGTAATAGAGTATTGATTGTTAAATTACTAATAAATAATTGGTATAAAACATGATCTACAAATTATTACAAGTWATATTAWCTACTATAATTATTTTTAAATATAAATTTATCAAAATTATTAATAATTTTAGTATAATATCACAAAAATAAAATATCATCAAAATATATTATATAAAATACAGTAGTTATYCATATAATTTATTAAAAMTATGATTGTATAGTGWWACATGTTAAARCATATTTCAGATACTGGAAGATAAATTTATATATAGTTTTAGTTAAATAAGTTTAAAACAATACTTAAATTAATATAAAAAGAAATTTATAATGAATATGATTTAACAAAATTTTAGACAAATTAAATATATACTGTATATATATGCAGTATTTCAATACATAACAATTCTAAACAAAAATTGTTTTTACTAGATTTTCAACATTTTATATTATAAGCTTTGAGGTATGTATACTCTCTCTCTCTCTCTCTCTCTCTCTCTCTCTCTCTCTCTCTCTCTCTCTTCAAAAATATGTTTTTAAGTATTTTTCTGTTCTTATGTTTTTTGAATTTATCGATGATTAGTAGATTTTTCAATATCTAATGTTTTGCTAAAATATTGTGTTTCCTTTTGATAAATAGCTTAAATATCTTTTAAAAATAAGTTTTTTAGAAAAACTACTCGAAAATAGTTAAGGGAGTTGTCGGCAATACAAACATTAAATACATAACAACACACTCTCAACACATAAGACAAAAATATGACATTTAAGTTGTGATGCGAACGAACATTACATCAAAAAATACAAAGAGATTTAAAGTGAAGTTATATTATAGTTTTGGTATATATTATATAACTTTTTAATGATTGTTACATTCCTTAAATAATTTTACATTAGTTTCAGTTATGTTGAAAGCATTGAATTTTATTTTTTTTTTTTTTATAATAACAACAACAAAATTATTTCGAAAAATAATAACACATATAAAAAACGAAATGAAGTTTTAGATTAATATTAATTGAAAATAATAAATTTTGACACAATATAGTTATTTTGCTAAAAATTGAGAGCTATAATCATTATTTTGATTGAATGAACTCATTCAAGAAAATTTGTAACTAATTTTTTATTAGCAATCCTAAATTTAATTTTATTTATAAAAAATTTAAATTATATATAAAATTGGAATTTCTATTAAATTATATCAAAGGTTAAATGAGCCAATAATGAGTAGCAATATTTGAAAAATACAAAAAATATATATAATGAAAATTAATGAAAACACGAAAGAAATATTAATAAAAATAAAATCAATTTGTCATTAAATAACAGAAATTTTTAGGTTTTATATTACATTTTTTATTAGATAAATCTCAAAATAGAATTTAAAAATATAATTTTGAGATTTTGTTTAAAATAATTTATGTTTCAAATGATTTGAAAAGCAAAATACTTTTGTGCATTTTTTTATTAATTTGCAATAATATTTTATTAAATTAACAAAATAAGGACTTGAAATTTGTATAATTTTTACCATTAATTTACTTCCTATTTAAAAAAATCTAATCGTTGGCAATGAATAGTCAAGTAGTTTGTGAATACCTATTCATGAGCTATTAGTTTAATATTTGAGAGACAAGTTAGAGAAACATTAAATTATGATAAGAGAGTGAATACYATTATAACTGTAACTATATTTGTAATAAAAAAGACAAGTTTTACAGAAATGTTTAAAATGTTTTTAATTWAAAAAAAAWWTTCGGATGATATCATTAATATATATATATATAAATTAAGTTATTTATATTTACTAAATTAATGGAATCTCCACTTGTGTTGATGTTTTGATATATTTTACAGTGAATTTGATTTAAAAGCWATTTTCCCGATGTTATGGCACTCTTAACTTAAAACTGAAACATTGATTCAGACACTAGTGTTTCACACGAGAAACTCCTACAGAAAACAACATTTTTTTTTTTTGTCTGAAAAAGTATAATATGTAATAACATTATATACAGTATATAATGCATACCTATATATGTTRTATACTGTATTATTTTTATATATATAATAAAAATCTCTGTAGAGTGAGTGAGAGGGAGAGCAATAAATTTAATAAATTGAATTCCTCCTCATATTTAAAGTACAGCCACTCCTGTATTGAGTCAATGGATTATACTTCAACTAACAACTATACAATATAAAACAATATAATTTTTATTTATAAGATTTACATTTATCAACAATTATTTTAGTGTATAATACAGTTAAAAATGTATCTGTATTTTGYTTATGTTGTAATGATAAATATTATATGCGAGACATTATAGTAAAGAATAATTTTGATAATTAACTACATTTTATAGACCACAGATTGAGATAGTCATTGGGATTTCTAACTCATWTACTTATACTGTATATTGAACTTCTCGGGTGTGATACTTAATCTAAGGGTTAGTCATATAAATTAGTTGTTGGCATAAATTTTGTCCAATTTTGGCTTTAATTGTAAAGTCAATTGTTGTGATGCACTGCCCGGAAAACATAAAAATTATATAATCTTTTCACTTGTGTTCACTATAATATGATAATATAAAAAGCAAAAAATAGACAAAACTGTTAATCCCACGCTTTTTTCTCGAGGAGAAAGAGAGAGAGAGAGAGAGAGAGAGAGAGAGAGAGAGAGAGAGAGAGAGAGAGAGAGAGAGAGAGAGAGAGAGGCATTAATTGTAAATTTTTTCATTTATACGATTGTTGTAAATAATGGTAATGTATGTGGATTTTAATATACAGGTATTTGGGCTGACWTTAAGACAATTATCTKTTTATGAGTTGTAACCACTAGTGATACCATGGAATCAGTCGGAAGATCAAAGTTTAACAAAATAAATGTAGTCATTGTACAAAAATTATATTTGTTTGTATTGTATTACTATAATATATATTGTCTAACTATATCTGTTATCACTATAGATATAAAGGAAAGAGAGAAATTGCAAACTTAACTAATAATTGGTRGAAAACAACAAACATTTTCATTTATATCAGAAATATTTATTAATATTGTTATTGCTATAGARGTATTAATATTACATTTAATAAACGTTACAAAATAGATATGATATGTATTATAACAAAAATWAAATAATATCCATTTTATGGGTGTAGTTCGACATAGGGTAAAAAAAAAATTTATTTGAGAGTTATTTTTTAAATTTATTTTTATGATAAATTGTCTTTATTTTAAATAATAAKCAAATATTTATTTCATTTATTCATCACTTTATTGTTTAAACAAAAGTAAAAACTGTTTTAATAATTAATTTGGTGTTTTATATTAAATATACATTCATAATAATAATAATAATAATAAACACTTAAATTTGCCAAAATTAATGTGAAATTTATTTTGTGGGCTTACATAATATCATATAACAACTAATTATGTATTCATCAAACTATATGAGCAAACAATTGATTAAACTCTGCTTTTTATGTAATTAATTACAACTAAATTTTTGGATAATTATATTTTCTTTTCGTATAACAACTATTTTATTAAATATAAAATTAATTAATCTTTCATTTCATGACTAATGATATATATTTTTTTCATATTTACATATATATTAACGACATGACAATCATTGTGTGGACAATACATAATAACAGGTCTCTGGTTATTGATAAACGATATCTCGTGTCAACTRAATCCCGGCGGTGCTTATGATATAGGACAGGGTCGGTGGGGTGAGAGACGAGGTATATATTTGTTTATTTATATCATTCAATAGTTATACTATTTAATTGTTTCTCATCATTAGACTATTATATAAAATCTTTACTAATTTTTAAAAAATAATTATATTAATTATATTTTAATTTGTGTCTCTGAACTTCAAATTATATAATTAATTAAATGATTGTTACATATCATATTCATTGTTTTGTTTTTGTATAAACAGTACTGATATTATATACAAATTATAAAATTTAGGTGACTTGGGTCCGGCCGGTATCGCTGGTATAACAATAGGAGCGGTGGCAGTGGCCGGTGCTCTGGCCGTCACTGTTTTCTTTTGCTATTATGTACACCAAAAGCAAAAACAGGCCGAATCACAAGCTTATGGATCACAAACAGGTATGCATTTTAATGTGTTATATTTAATTACATTTCGTGTTTTGTTTAAAATAAGTGATAGMCTTATGAATGAAAAATGTTATTTATATAACATAAACATAAAAACAATTATTTTTTTCCATTCATTGTTCTCTTGGTTTTTAATTAATATTAATTACAATATAAATACAGTATAAGTCATGGATAGGTTAGTTTTGTTAACTGTTAGGGCTTATAGTGATAGTGAGAGAGTTGAGTAAACATAAAAATAGTTTACTTTTAGGCTGAACTGCAAAACTCTCTCAACTCATATATTATTCAAGTCTTTCTCATTAAAAATTCAAAATATAAATAAAAAACTTTGGTTGAAGTGAAAGATAGATAGAAAAAATCATTAACTTATTTACTGAGTTATTAAAACTAGCAAATAAGCATAATATATATAACAATATAAAAATGTACATAATAATAGTTAATAAAATCTATATTATTATATTATAATWTATAATATATTTTTACTGGCAAACTATAATACAGTATAATAAMATAGTATAGTAATAGCCAGTGATAACTTCAAWATATATATATAACAAATAAAATAAATTAAATTGAAGTGTAGTTCGTTGTACTTTTATWTAAGTCATACATAAAATTATTTATTTGTTTGTATTATTATTATTGTATTTAAAAAATTTATTATATGAAAATTATTATTCATTTGTAAAATATATTGTGAAAAATAAAATTAACCATTAATTTGTAGTTTTTATCGTGTTGTTAACTAACAAATATAATAAGTGGAGAAAATATTTCATTAATCAATTAAAAATAAAATTTAAAAAAAATATTTTTATTAAATATGAAACTACATCACACTTTTGATATTAACTAATTTTTATGTTATATTTTATGACACACACACACAGGATATCGCAAACCGGCCTATCAGGACTACTAATCACATATCAAATTGCATTTAATATTAAAAGTTTTTTCATATAACAGTATTACATTTAATGATACATTTATCGATTAATTTTTGTGGTTGACTGACATTTACGGTACACACATACAYACCAACATTTTATTTTATTACCACATGTTTTTTATTTAAAAAAAATTGTCCACTAATTGTTTTTTACTTATAATAATTTTTAATAKAAATTTTTTATTCTTATTACATTTAATATATATAATATTTATATAAATACTTATATTATTTTACTGTAACAGTATATTTTATTGTTATAAAAATGCATTTTATTTAATATAGTTTTTTTTAATTTCTATTATAATAAAATTATAGTAAATATATATAATAATAAAATATAAAAACGGGAGAAAAATTAGTTCAATATATGCCTTTTGTATTCAACCTTTTTTTTTTAGTGAACAATTGATTTAATAATAATAATGTATTTACGCTTTGTATTTAAATGAATGAAAAATTATCGTAAATTATTATTAAAATATGAAATTTTGAATAAATATATTTATACAACAAAAYAAAAATGCTTTTGTGTTATCTGTATAAACATTCACTCTCTGTCCCATTGAATCCTATTTAATGTGTTTATTACATAATAAAAACATATAATTCTTTATACAAACAAATACTGTTTTGGAAATATGTTTAATTTGATTTTATATTAAATAATTTATAATATAATWATTATTATTTTATATGGTTTACCATATTCAAAAAAATATCTCTTATTTCTCCCCTCATTGAATAAACAAGATTTGACCGGATTATTGATGCTAATCAACTTCATAAGGAAAGGTATTAAACAATATTACTGTATATTATATACAACTCCAAGTTTGGCAAAGGGAAGGCCTAATTGCCAGAGAAATACGGCCTCAAATGTGGTTATTAAATACCAGACAAATAACTTATATTRAATTACAAGTAAATAAAAAGTTACTTTTTATGTTTTATAAAATGACATCATATCTATAGTGAAAAATTACAAAATATATCGTCAATTAATTGTAGTGATTGCACAATTATTTCTGCTTGATACAATCAATAATAGGAAATAGTATTGTAGTGCAATTGACTCTATAGTATAATACAGTATTTTTTATTATTTTATAATTACTGTCAATTGTCTTTTTCCGTTATTGTACTGMACATCAAACTTATTATATTTTTTGTTATATCAAAAATAATGTATACTCTTATARTAATACATATATACAGGTTTTAATCACGTAATATATAATACTTTTATATAGTTAGTACTGAAAACTGTATAAACATATATATAGTATATATATATATATATRTTATATATATTATATACTATGTATAATTTATGATTGAAAATAATAATAATATAAAAAYAACAAAAAATACTAATATCTGTTGTMAAAAAGGCTGTGATTATACAGTGATATAAAATACATTTTAATTTGTATTTATTGTATGACTAATGAATAAGAAATTAAAAAAATATGATAAACACTGTATTATACTGAACAGTATTGTATGAATAAAATATATTAAATTTATATACAGACAAAAAATTGATTATAAGTATTGCCTCATTAATAATATTCTTAACATTTGCAATGTTTGCCAATAGATAACACTTGAATAGACTACATATTTCTCACATAACATTAATAGACTACAGTCTAAGTTAAGTCATATATAATTATAATAAATATGTTAATTAAATACACATTTAATTAATTAGTTATAAGTAATTAGTCAAACATGTGATCACTTGACACGAGTGGACGTRTGATAAATGTATGCATTAGACTATTGGGACTATAATTAGAAAATTGTGGTCAACTTAGTCAACATGTGGTTATTTAATAGACTTTTATTATTTCAAATATCACTGAATTTRCTRTTAAAAGTACTGTATAAACAAAATAGTTTAGTAATCTGTTATTATATRTATTGTATTRTACTATAAGTTTATAGTTAACAAAATGTTTGTATGATAATRATTAAATTTAAATATGTGCATGGTTAATTATTAATTTATTTAATAGACTTTTTRTTGAAAGATATTGATTTTTAATTATAAGATCCAGTAATAKATATTTGATTGTATTTTCTAGAAATGTCCAAGGTGACATTTTATTATACATTTGTAATTAAATTGAATTATTACATCAATTAAAATGATAACATTTMAAATGAATCATAAGTTATTGAATCAAACAATTAAAATAATATCAGTTATCATATGTTTATGGTATGCGTTGCTAATCAAAAACGGCTGACACTGTAGTCGTAAAAATGCAAACTATTTGATGCATTGTGTATGCGTTGACAGTGTTTTTACTCTAAAGTGATAACATTGGTTCTGATTGGTYGAGACTTGATTGTCAAATRTGTATTGTTATCACTGATTGGTTGTTGTAATTTGGTTGTAGCGCCGCACTGGTGGCCACAATGTGAGTGAATAGCGAGCGCTTGTTTTGGACACCATTTATGTGATGTTGACTATTGAGTGTTGACTGGAGTGCTGTTTGTGTGACTGAATGTATGTATTGCTTGTATCGCTTGTATTGGTTGTACTGACTGTGTGTTCGTATGTTTTCAAGCAATAGTCAGAGCACTGACTCAATGTATGTGTTGTTGATTTGAGTGGCGTTTAGTCATTGAGTTTACATTTTGAGTGTCGGAGTCATTGTCTGTGAAATCGGTGGACAACACCTCCTAAGTCATCGGCCAAATCATGTCTTAAGCCAACTATCATTAAACTGTACGACCAGATCGTTGTCATTGTATACYAGTGCTCAAAGATGGCGATCAATAGAGGCTGTTGTAGTGGTCAGCCGATGTTGACAGTCATATCTGTGCTGACATTWTGGACATTGTTGTGTGCCGTCAATATAGTGGTCAATGGCCATAATGGTCATCACAAGGACAGTCCTAAGTCCAACTATACCTACTTTGAGGAACGCAATACTGATCTATATTTCTCACATTTAACTGTTAATACTTATACGGGTCAGGTATATGTTGGAGGTGTCAATAGGATATACCAATTTTCACCACATCTTGTTCCCGAAGCCGTAGTTTTTATGGGACCTGAGGAGGACAGTGCCGATTGTCCGGTGACCAGAAACTGTCCGAATGTAGTGAAAAAGCCAACCATTTATTACAACAAAGTGCTGGTCATAGACTATACTCAATCGCGACTCATATCGTGCGGCTCTCTATTTCAAGGTGTCTGTGCTGTCCATAAACTTGATAATGTGTCACAATTTGACTCATCGGCTACCGAATCGGTAGTTGCCAACAATGCCACGGCTTCGACTGTCGCATTTATAGCACCGGGACCTACAAAATCACCAAAACATGTACTATATGTGGGCGTATCCTACACGGCTAACGGGCCTTATCGGTCGGATGTACCGGCCGTCAGTTCCCGATCACTCGACCCGAATGGTTGGTTACTCTATTGATTATTTAATTTATTTTATATTTAGTTTTTAACTAAATTTTATAAATGTTTTTAATTGTCGTTTGATAATCATATAAATCAATTTTTTAGTTTAGCCTTAGGTTTGAGTTATAAATGTCACTGAGGGAAAAAATATTAAAATACAAGACAAATATACAAAATATTTTAGACACTTGTCTCGATTTTTTTAGACAGTCTTAATATTAAATGACAAATGACCCAGGAAAAAACGGTATTATTTGGTAGGACATTTGTCATTTAATTTTAAGACATTAATTAAATTCAAAGGGGCAGTATATGTATTTATATTTTAAGATATTTGTATTAAAAAATTGAGACAAACATTATATTTTTTATGTATATATGTATATATTGTTATAGACTCTTGCCATTTAATATATATAATAAATGTCTGATAAATAAAAGACAAATGCATTATTTTATTTTAATTTATAGCAATTTTATTTTGGACAAATATATATTTAAAATAAATACATTTATGCAAGTATATTATAACAAACAATAAATTTTAAAAAATTAGAAAAATACTATAGATAATTTAATAACATTATTGATGTAAAACTTGATCCTAATTTTTCATTATAAGTAACTGGTGACCAATGATTTAAAACTGACGTCAAAATAAACTAAAAATAAAATAAAAAAAATATTAAATAAAATATTTCAATTATTTATAAATTTATAAAACCTACCTGTTTTATACTGTATATATATATAACTTATATATATATAATTACCGTAATGTTATATAAAACAAAATAAAATATATTAATCGATACCACAATTAATAATCACTATTTAATTCATCACACAATGACTTAACAGATAAATAAAATTTATTGATTTTCGCAAAGTTTTGTCTCATCTTTTCATTAGCGATGTCTGTAATGTGTTTGATATAGTCTTCGGAGACAATCAAACGATTGTCGCAAATGATGGGCACTTCCAGTGACGGACAGTTACGGACGGCAACAATAAAGCGCTGTTTTTTGATGACTGTTAGACCAGAGTTACGAAAACCGCAAGCGATGGCCACTTCAAGCAGCTGTCGGGCGGCCATCAAACCGTCGGCACAGACGTGCAAAACAAACGGTTCGACTTTGTATGAACCAAATGGCGGACAATCGGCAGGGCTTTGGATGGCCGACAGTATGTCTTGCGATTGGACTAAATCGTGTGATATGAACAGCCATTTGGCACTAGATTTGACATTTTGTACGGTACTTCGGCCAAAACGGTTATCCTTCCCGAACACGAACTGGTCGTATAGTAGACCAGACAGTCGTTCAGTGCTGTAATCAACGGAACAATTGGTTCATCAATGGATCCCTTAAGACTCAGGTCTTGTTTGCCAATCAGTTGTCGACAATTGTCTTCCAGGAGTGTTGGGTTAAATTGCAAACTCCTCACATCAAACACATGCCATTGTTTTGATAGTAATATTAGTCACTAAACTACAGTAATAATGTTTGTAATTACAATAAAACTATTTTGTCTAAAAATACAGAAATTTTGTTTATTTAATAAATGTGTTTTACACTGCAATGCATAAATGCTAAAAAATAAATAACATTAAGGTAAAAAGGGGTATTTTTAATGTATATTTTTAAAATAATAATTTGTCTAATTAATTTATACAATTTGTCTATAAATTTGTAGACAACATTATTAATTGTCTTTTATAAAAAAATAGTGTCTAATATTTTTTGGACAAAAAATAAATCATTGGGCATGTCATAGTTTAACATTATATTTTAATATAAATGTCTTTTATTTTTTAGACAAATAAAATTTGTCTTAAAATTTAAATACAATTAGATTTATTTTATTGGACATACCAATGCTATACTGTAAAAACCAAAATACTTTCAAGATTTTATTGTCAGTGGTTTTTAGGCTTGAATTCAATATTTTCTGAATTATATTAATTTAAAATTAGGTTAAATATATTAGTTTTTATTTACTATTTAATTGTATCAATGAAATAATAGTTTTTATGCATAACATGTAAATTAAATACAAACTACTTGTTTGTTTGATATGATATATGAAATAATAGTGTAGTGTTTGATAAGTGAAGCAAATTTTGGTTATTTTTTGTATTAATTTGATTTATAAACGAGTTATTTGTTTATTTATTTGTTCTCATTGTTGATCTGTTAGTGGTATTGATTGCCATAAATAATAACACAACTTATATGTTATTGTTTTTTATTATCTGACTGTAACAGCAATGTTCACGATTGCGGCTACGGGTGTGACCACTGGTACACGATTGTTGATAAACTCATTGGCCAGAGATCGCTATCCCATAAGCTATGTATATGGCTTTCAATCACGTGGTTTCTCCTATTTCTTGACCATACAGAAGAAGAGTGCCGAAGCTTCGCGACCATTCATATCAAAATTGGTGCGAATCTGTCAAAAGGATGCCGACTACTACTCATATACCGAAGTGCCCATTATTTGTCGGACAACACATGACAACAATGAGTACAACTTAGCTCAGGCAGCTTTTGTTGGTAAACCCGGATCAGAGTTGGCCACTTCATTGGGTATTACAGCACAGGACGACATATTATTTATAGCGTTTGCCAAATCAAAGGATGAGTCGGATGTTTTTAATAAGCCGTCGGCCAATTCAGCCCTATGTGTCTATGCGTTGTCAGCCATTCATCGAAAGTTTACCCAAAATATTCAACACTGTTTCAATGGAAATGGCAATCAAGGACTAGACTTTATTAATATCATTCAAACTTGTGTTCCCACTGTAAGTCTACAAATGTTTTCATACATTTACTATAACTAAAAAATATAATTKATTTTGTATTTTTTCTTATCGGTAATAATATATTTTTATTAAACAATTAGCAAGTTCAAATCAATGATGACTTTTGTGGTATGGATGTTAATACACCATTGGGTGGATCAATGGCCATTGAGGCCGCACCAGTGCTTACCTACAATAATATACTGCTGACATCGGTGGCCGCCACTTCAACACATGATTACACAGTTGTATTTTTGGGGACCGAAAGTGGACATTTRAAAAAGGTTTGTAATAATTAAATGCCGTTATTTTACAATAATGTATAATATAAGTCATTGATAATATGGAAAARTAAGTTATGGTTTATTTGACTTACTATTAAAGTAAGCAATTAATTTGGGATTTRGTATTAGTAATACTATATTACTAATGATTARTCCAACCCTTTTTGCTGAATCCACTTTAAATCTCTTTTTTAATCTTTGTTAATACCGATAATATGTTTTGTATGATTGCTCACTCTCTTCAATGTCCGACCATTGAATTTGAGAGACAAACAGTACAATTGAATTATTTGATTCACCATTAATTCATCACTAAATGCACTTTCAAGTTGTGTGTTGTTTGGCAACAAAGTTAACGCCAAATAGTAATATAACTGAAGTAATGCTAAATTAGACTAACAAACCAAACGGTTCCCCTCAACATCCAGTGCTGTAAATTTAGACCATTGTATCATTAGTAGAGTGCATCTCAGCTGATATGATGTTAGCTCCAGATACCAAATGACTTAACAGTACAATTGGTGTTGTTGTCGGAGGAGCTCTCAATGTATGCACCAAATGGTTGTTATATTGCTTTAAATGTTGTTTTGCGTGCTTTCTATGCGTTCAATTCATTGGGGAATTTTATTATTAGACAATAAACTATATTTGAAATACTGTTTCACTGKCCTATCAAAAAAGTCGATTTAGCATTGAATACTTAAATCCCTGTGTTTTTTAGAGAGATATTATTTGGAGGTTCAAAATTGCTTATAAACTCATGTCATACCTCAGACAGTCGATGGCTATACATTAGCTGTCTTTTCATAGTATCTATAACTCTATGCTTACATCTACTCCCTAATGCCATAGTTAGCGATCGATGACATTTAGACCCTAACATTACTTTCCTCAACCCATCTCACATAATGCCGATAAAAAATACTTGAATTGCTTTTTCAGCAATCTTTATGTTTATAATTGATATTTGAGTGATATTTATTATAATTAATGTTTGATCAAAAATATCCAAAGCATTTATTAACTAATAAACGTTAAATTGTTACACTCCTTACAATTATTATATTGTGTTTAAGCAAAAAGTCTGTTTTGTTGTTTTTTGTGTGTATACGAGCACTGGTATTTCGTGATTRCTAATATTGCAAACCAGATTATCAATAGCGAGAAGTGTTACTAATGTTGGTCTTTGATAGCACCAGTRCTTTGATCCCCTTTTGTACCAAATAATACAACAATGCATAAGACTACTGCTCTCTCTCTCTCTTCTCTCACCAACTGGCCTACACTACTACCTCCTCTAAAATAAGAGATAACAATACATGAGCCACATATTGTTATTTGGCTATTAATAATATAGAGGTTTAGGTTTGCTATGCATTYAATTTGACTGACAATAATAAAAAAATTGAAGGATAAGCGAAAAAATGGGGTAAAGAGTACTTTGCCTCATAGACAAACACATATGTGAATGTGTYTMWTAATTAGGTCTTAATAAAACAGTTACTTTATTAAACTTCTTATTATGCGCTCATTTAAGCATTAATCTAATATATAATAAATTGCTTTTCAATTTAAACATAGATATTATACAATAATTGGTGCCTTTTTAATGACTATTATTGAGTCATTGATTGTTATCCGTATTCGCCATACATTCCGGTCTTTTTCCAACACAACAAATGATGTGCCCTTCAGTTGTGCTAAATGTRTATTTTAATTAACTACAACTTAACAAAATTTAATTGAATATACYGTATATTGTATGCATTTTTACGATCAAAACATTTGGGGCTAAAATAGTAAAATTTCATGTTTACTATTAATACTATRAATTGATTTAATAGTGAATCCAAAAGAATATATATTTTAGCTAAAACTCTATGATTTTGCTGTGGATGTCATTATCCGATATTATCATTGACTCTATTCTTAACTCACATGTCTTTTATCGTTCAATTGTTTAATGTATTGTAGAAAACGTCTCATTAGTCGTTATATTCATTAGACTTTATATTTGTCTATCTCTTTCTCTCCACTGAATTATACAATTTTATGTGGTCTATGATTTCATAGCAATGTGGCTATCATTTCATAATAACAATTTTAGATTCAAAATACATATATATGCTGTTGTTTTAGGGATTGATTTGTTATTTTAATTTTAATTACATTAATCTACATTAACATACTATCGCATATTTTAATGAATTTTTATGCTTAACACAACACAAAATGATTGTAATTATAGTTTCATAGCATAATTATTCTGTTAAAAAATTATGACAAAAATAATCTACTATTATATTTATGTTATTAAAGTTTATATTTTAGCAAAATTAATGGCTAATATCAMTTTAGCGATATAGCAAATAATTAAATTGTAAGACAAGTATGTAAGATATAACTTTTTACTTATTTGTATACATTCAGWCAACRTTGATGTCATCAAATTATTATTTAAAAATGAAATTTAATTAAACAGATGTTTAAATGAAAAATTGATAATTTCATCAAATTTAGGCGATTGTAAATATTTATTATAAATATTGATTGTTTTTTAAACATAAAAATTATCTTTTAGMTATGCATACATTTTGTTATTACATAGGATTATAAAATATCTTGAAAATGTTTTTATTTAATGCTATTTTAKGGCTTTATATATAGACTCATCATATATATTGTACTATAATTTGCAATTCATATTCAATTCGTCTGTTATTTTATATTTTAGTTTTGTCCTCATTTTACTCATAAATTATTTTTCATATTATTTGTCGAGCTTTCATATATTAGCGGTTATATTATTTTCTATATATATATATATATATATATATACAATATAATGATACATACATTATTATTATTATGCATTKAAATATAAATAATGAATTTTATTAATTATACACTATGTTAATAAACTCTATTAGTAATAGTAATAGATATTATTATATTGGGAATAAATATTGAATAAAATTGAAATGTTGTATAAAAATAATATGATTTAAAAAATAGATTATAATAACTTTTTAGTTATTTTTTACTATAAATAATATATTTTAATCAATTTGCTAATAGCTTTAATTAAGCAAATGATTATAATACTAATTGTATTAGTGATTGACAATTAACATAGTTTTATTTATAAAATATTTTACTTGCCWTGAGTTGAATGCATGCATTCAAAGATTTTTGTTGTTGTAAAATACAATGATTACTATTATATTGTTTAACATAAAATAATAGWAAATATAATATATATTTAGTRTGATCAGCAAAAAATGTTATTRTTTTTATTTATATGATAATACTTTAGTATTTTGCCAAAACAACACAATCGTTAYTTCATTTACTATCTATCAGTGATTGTTGTCTTTTTAATCATTTTTGTTAAAAGTCGTTAATCTATTTTCTAKTTTTTTTGAGTTCATTTTTAAAACTCAATAATAACAAAAATAAAAAATATTTATATGCATTAATATCATTTAAGTATAGCAACTAAATCTCTMTTTTCTCACTCACTCACATACATTGCTTTATAACATTTGATTGACTACACAGGTGTCACAAACAATATATTAATTTAAAAAGATGTCTATAATATGTTTCAAACGGTTAGCACATAATATAATCGGAAATTATATATAAGCGTCAGATATACAACTCATGTTTGACTAACTCTTGTGTCGTACAGTTGGCAACAAATTTGAGTTTACAATTATTATATAAATTTATATATACATAAATGTAATAATATATATATATATATATATATATATATATATATATATATATATATATATATATAGTTGGCATTCATACTTGGAAGTGACTGTTGTCAGTGAAACCTAATATCTAACCGTTCTCTCTAAAAGTGATGCTCTATCGGTGACATATCTAACCCTACAATCTTTAATACCCAAGTGTTGGTTACAGTGAACAACCTGTGTTACTCTTACTCACAATAGGGTTGAGCACCGGTTTAGCAAAACTGGAATAATTGATGACTGGATTTGATTGTATGCCTGATTTAATCAGATCTGGTGTCACATTTTCAATGGCATTGTTTAACCTACTCTTCAGGGGATTCGCTATCAGTTTTTTATAAGATTCACTCATCTGAGTCGTGTATATAATACCGTTAACTATAGAAAACATATTATATTACTTCTTCAGGTATACCAAACTGTATGACAATTGAATGCATAATATTTTTTGATGTCGTTTCTGATGTSTCACCGGATTTTAACTGTAATGARACAAACAATTTTAATCATAAAAATGATGACTAACATTATATTTATCAAATTGAGACAAATGCATTGGTTTTATTTATATAATTGTAATAATATTTGTATTGATTTTTTCATTGATAGTTATATACTCATGAATTACTATTATTTGAGCTAACATAGTGTTTACACGCGTCACTTGAAATGTATTTTTATATAAAGTTTGTTTTAGTTGAGTRTATTAATAATTGTATATATATATATATATATRTGTGTGTGTGTATTAAATAAAAATATAGATAATTCTTTACTTATAGTTTAACCAAAAAGCTAGCCAACAGTTATTCTTATTTATTTGATGCCATCTCTCCCTTACYCATACATACACACAATTTTCTCTGGATTTCTATATATTTTTTGAGTCGATTTATCTTTTAATTCAGTTATAAGAGTCTGTTATTTATTTGATCCTTTAGTAGTATTAGTCATACGGCGCTATTTGTGATGTTTTTCGACTCCCTTTTCATCTCAATATCTGTATCTCTCTTTTAGTATTTTCTGTATTATTGTTTTAATGGTCAGTCGTATCGTACTATCAGTACTACAATATATGGTAGTACTTGAAAGCATTGTCTGTTGTCATCATTAAACCCAAAGAAAAAGCAATAACTTTCTCATAATAACAGAATTAGTGGATTGAAATGTTTTCATTAGGAACTGAATCTCACTACTCATAATCACTGGAGTACTGTTACCAATGGGAGAGAA